TTCCCTCTACATAGGATGGAACCCTTCCTGAAGGCTCCAGAGGTTGATGATGGCTATAAGATTATCACCGATTCCCGTCAAAGAACTTACAAGATTGAGGATAAGAAGTTAGCGCAGCTGGATACAACCATCAACGAAACTCTCATCTCGAAGTTCAAGAATTCCTCAGCCAAAGAAGCCCGGATGATATATCGGCTTATAGACGGTCATATACGGTACTCCGCTCTACTTATGCAGAAGAGAGACCATCAATTTATGTCAGAGCACCTAGCATCTACCTCAGCGGGTTTGACTCTCCTGAGAAGACAAGGGTTATTGTCAGCATTTCTCATGATTCCAGGGAAGTTATGATGATTAAATCCATCAACACTTTGGCTAACGTGATTCGTCAGACAGCAGAGATTCTGGCACTACTACGCTCATTCAAGTTGGAAGACCAACAAAAGAAATTTAAGGCTCCTGCCTGGGATCTCAACGTAGTTTTACAACATCTCACCAGTGATGCCTACGAGCCTCTAGAACGGATATCCTTTGAACTACTAACTCAGAAAACGGGCTGTTCCTGATCGCCCTAGCAACAGCTGCAAGGATGTCTGAAATACATGCTCTGGACTTTGAACGAACACGATTTGAATCAAGACATCGTGACATCGTACATCTGGGACTGTGATGGGATTTTATCGCCAAGAACCAACTGCCTGGTCAGCCTGACAGACAGTTCCACATCCCAGCACTATCTCCAGTCCTTGGGCCACAGGATACGCAGGATCTATCCTTATGCCCAGTCAGAGCACTTAAAGTCGACTTGAGCCTCCACGAGCCTCCAATCCACACGATGTCAGAGCCCTGGGGTCAGCACTTGCTCTGCATGGAAACTGCTCGATTACAACTATAATGGAGGGCTGCTTTTGGAGATCAAACACAGTGTTTACCAACCACTACCTCAGAGACATTGCCACTGAAGACGTCTCAGGCATTCACCAGTTTGGGCCTCTTGTTGTAGCACAACAACTAACGGTTCCACAAAGGCGCTGAGTAAATATCTCACCCCTTTATCACGTGACTTGTGAAAACCAATGCTCTGGAGAGCAATGGCTATAAGTCCATGCACACGTCTAGGACAGACTAGCATGAGTGATAGACCCTGTACTTGTATAGGACATACTCGTACATGAAGAAGGGTCGCATCTCCACTCGATGCGCGCATCAAGAGATGGAAGAAATCTGACAAGTTGTGGTCCCCCCAGACTCATCAGAGAAAAGTTGAAAGAATCTTCAACAGTGCCGTCATAAGTTCCCAAGGGGGGTAATACAGGACTTAAATCTACAACCAGTGAATCCAGAACGTGGCTTGACCCACCACCGTTTCCGACGGATTCTGCAAGCATAATTAGCATGAGTAAGGATAAGGAAAAATATGTAATTTTCTGACTAAAATTGATATTTTATACTTATCCTGACTCATGAGGATAGCCCTCCCAACCTCCCCTCTTATGGCTCTCTGGACAAATATGGCCGATCATGTGACCATTTGGGCGCCAAAGGGAGCAAAGGGACGCTACTCTTGGATGAGTGATTTTACGTCCGCTTTTTTAAAGGGAACTTCAAGGGATTTCAAGTGTTCCACTATCTTTCGCAAGAGGAAGGAGACAAGCATAATTAGCATGAGTCAGGATAAGTATAAAATATCAATTTTAGTCAGAAAATTACATTTTTCTTGTCCAAAAAACAATATGTATGGATTTGGTTTCTGAAAACATCGAAATATGTCAGTCTAAGTAAACTTAGGTATTATTCATTACACTGCTATAAGTACTGAGTCTAACAAAACCTAGTAGAAGGTCGCGTCAGCTAACCTTTTGGACTGACCAATCAAGAACGTTCACATTCGCACATACCGTTTGAACCTTTACTTAAAAAACTCTGAATGCTATTTTCCGCACGAACGCTTCCGAGTGATACACATGGAAGACACAATGAGTAAACAATCACAGAAAATATCATTTTTGTCAATATTCAAGGATGTCATCTTGTGGTAATAGTAACCAATAGTAATAGTTTGTTGATAGATCAGTGTCAGCAAGGATGTATATACCTCTTTGGTGTCAGCGACCTGGGAAGAGAAAATCCCCAAACCGTTTTGTATGTCCTGCCGAACCCTAAATTGTAGGCGTTTTCTCATTGGTTAAATCCGTTTGGCCTCCCCCATTTGATTGGACAGTCATAGGTCAATCAAAGGTTAGCTGACGTGACCTTCTGCTAGGATTTGTTAGACTCAGTATAGCAGTGTAATGGATAACACTGAGCCCAAGTTAACTTAGACTGCGAAATATGTAAAACTTTGAATAATGTTAGTTGCCAGCTTTGTCCATACCAACATTGTACCTCGATTCCTTTGTTTGTAGGAGGGTCAGGATGCTATCATGCAATGCCTGTTGAGACGTGGTGCCAATGTCCATCTCTTGGATACATCGCTGAGATCTGGTTAGAGGCATTCTTCTTCTTGCATCATGTTCATCTTGAACATCCTGTGATGCACCTCATGCTTGAATCTCTGATGTCACTGTCCCTTAAATCTCATGCTTGAATGCAGAACACATAATATCATATCCCCCAAGTGATACTCCTTCAGCGTATGTGAGGCTCTGAGTGTATTAGTCCACCCTTTATGTTTGTAAATACAGTGTTAATGCATTTACTTCTTGTCCACAGCTCTACACATTGCCAGTGGCGGGCAGCATGCAGGGTGTGTGGAGCTTCTGCTACAACATGGTGCTGGTGCCAGCCAGGACAAGCATGGACAGACAGCCAGGCAAATGGCCAAGAAAGATGATGTAAAACAAGTATTCAAGAAATATCTGGATCATGTCACTTGAAATATCTGCAAAAAGATTTAATATTTTTGGGTTGTTTTCACGATATTATTCACACTCTGGGTCACAGTTCATTACACTTTGGACATTCCTAGGCTTATTTTACAAAGTGATCTTAACACAACTACACCTATTATATCAATGTTCAGTCACAGGAGATACACCCTTCATAATCCCGTGATTATACTGATACCGAACTGACCATCGCCAGGCAGGATAACAACAAACCTCTTTATCATCTTTGGGTATACTGAGGCCAACCTGTGATCTTCTGGTAGAGAACAGATGCTGTATATGCTGGACCAAGTAGACAATCTGGTGGACAGTCGTGGTGTCATAAGCTGTGGACTGTTTACAGGCGGCTGTCATATACCTGCAGGAGTGCCTGCTGAGGAGTTATGTAACACTCACTCACACACTTTTATATGATTCAGCTAAGTTATTTGTTTTTGTACCTCTTGACAGATGACACTCTGACACAATCATTATCCCATCCCCTTATCCTGTCATGACTTCTCACATTCACAGGGGGCAGCCTAGTGGTTAAGGCGCTCACTCGTCACACTGTATACCCAGGTTCGATTCCCCATATGGGAACAATGTGTGAAGCCCATTTTTGGTGTCCCCCGCCATGATATTGCTGGAATATTGCTATGTGTGTAAGCATTCATGCCAGGGATAGCCAGGGTTTCTCACAGGAGTGTAGTCACTGTTACATTTTAAAAGTAATAACATTTTGACATTTATATGCTTACGGAAAAGCCATATAAAGTTAAAATTCAACTGTTTGAGAGGCATTCAACAAGTTGTACCCTTTTGAAAACCAAAACGTCGCAATAAAGAAGTTGATCATCCACAAAGACTTGTCTGTCCTGTTGTGAAAAATCAGACTGAAAAAATATTCAGAGGAGGTATTTATGTTTTGAAACATCTGAGCAACAACAATCGAGTATTTCACAATTACATGCCAGAATATTCAGTTATGTCACACATCGCTGATCCGATGTCTGGTTTAGAAACAATAGTTTTCTGAAACAATGACCAGAGACTTGTTCACCAAAGATTATTTCTACTTCTATGACAAAAGTTGTGGAAATTGGACGTTGATGGAGGTGTTATGCATGGCCTACCATTAGGTAAGGTAGTCAGTGATAACACCAATGAAGACAACAAATGACATTCGTGAATGCTCAAGCTTTAAGCTCACTTTGATTGTTCCGATTCTTTGCAGAAAATATGTTTGGATCAGTTCAACCAACCTTGAACCCATTATTTTCTCTGTAATTAGGCACAAACAATTTCTTTGGAACTGCCACGTAGTATATTGTTTTTTAAAAACCATCCAGGATGTTCTTTTGATGTGTAGATTATACAAAATTTCAGAACCTTATGACCTAATAAAATGTTGAAGGGCATGGCCATCGAAGTTTGCTGTGCAGAATTACGTGTGTTTACCAGGATACTCTGGTGAGGTTTCACAACACCAAAACCCCCCTTCATCGTCTCAAGCTTACCTTCCACACAGAGCTGACACTCATGAAACAGAACTAATGCTCAAGTCAACATTAATTCAATGTCATTCTATTGACATGCTCATCAACTGCCATGTCAGGCTTTCCGGTGGTGTGGAGCTGGACGTAAAGGTCTCAAATGATACCTGTCTCTCTATCTCTGACTGTAAAATACTACCATTGACGATCACAGACAATCGTTTAGGAGTAGTGTGCTCCGAGATAGTGAAAACAGCCCGGACAACAGTGAATGGAAACAAAATGGAAACAGACGAGTTGGCGCAGCTCCATAGAATGAGCTTCCGGTAAACCATCAAGACCATCCTTTCAAAAGCAGGATCAGAGAGTTTTATGGTAAGATGCGCAGTGTGAAATATGTTATAACAAATATCTGTGAAAGATATATTTGTATGTGATCATCATGTGTTGTATCAAACACTCTCTCACTGACATGTTGCATCCTTGGGTTCAAAAGGTTCCCAGTGCAGTCTGTACGAGACGATCTAATTGTTTGGGTGTCCAAGTTCAGTGACAATTTGTGTGCTGAATTGTCTGGTCCAGACTCAGCTATGTATAGGTTGCCACCCCATAACTGCAATGCATTTGACAACACGGGGACGCCGTAGAGTTTACTTGCCATGGTAGTACATATATAATATATAATTGCACACTGCCATTTCAGGCAACAGCTATCACGTTGATTAATTGTACTACATAATACCGTCTGAAATAGTATACACAAACACAGATAAGGTTTGAAAACCATGGAACATATTTACATGGAGACTGAGCCCAATGTCTGCGTGGAGCCAGTTTTCAGTCTAAGTTAAGACACTGTAATAAGCGCTATTCTTGAACCTTGACACAAGTTACGCATAATACCGAGCACCGAATGCTTGGGCTGTCAATTTGGCCTAGTTCTCCAATTTTGAAAGTATGGACCTTGACGAATGTGTTGCTGACACATTACAAACAGTTTATCTTTATATACACTGTATATTTGACCTGTGGACGAGACGTTATCAATTTGCCATTTCCGATGTTATAATTCTTACAATCTTCATTTCAGTCTATACAACCATTATTGCTAAAAAACATGAAACACGCAAGAACCCGGATGTTGCTGTTTGTTCATCTGGTATAAAACGTAGCCGCCATCTGATGAACACCGAGTTTCGTAGCCCCTTGATCAGATCCTTGATTATGTCCGGCAAATTTCACGTAAATCATTTGGGAACCCCCAGGTCGATGGCAGATGTACAGTGACAAATGAAAGTAAATTAGCCCCACGGGGCTGTTTTTATTATTAGCCTTTCATATCAGTTGTCCATTTCGTAGTCTTCTACTTCATTCTCGATTGAGTTCTCTAGAATCCAGTCATAATATTTGGACACATGTGTATAGTAGCCATATTGGTTTTCTTGGTCGCATCCGACTCCCCATGAAACGATCCCCACCTGAATCCACCGACCGCCGTATTCCATTACATAGGGGCCGCCACTGTCGCCGTGGCAGGCATCACCGCGCATGCGCCGAGAGTACCCAGCACAGATCATTCCGGGCGTGAAAGAAGTGTTAACACTTTTGGCACTTCTTTCACATACGGGTCGGTTGACATATGGAATGGTAACCTCGCGTAGGAATGTTGGAGACATGCCGTATTCATACAAACTACCACAACCTGTAATCATTCCGACCCTTCCGCCACGAAGTAGTTCGTTCACAAGCAGTTCCCTCTCCAGGCATATTGGCATTACGAAGTCACTGAACTCTACCGGCTGATCTAGTTGGAACAGTGCAACGTCGTTATCAAAGTTATGTCCCTTGAACTCAGGATGCAGTATGTATTGTTTGAGACGACGTTGTATGCCCTGTTTGCCGTCGCAGCGCACGGTGCCGACGTAAATGTCCACGTCTACTCGAGAGAATGGAGTGCCGTAGGATTTCTCGAACTGTTCGACACAGTGGGCAGCGGTCAAGAACCACTGGGTGTTGATCAGTGAACCGCCACAGAAAGCAGCAGTCTGAAATAACAACAGGTCACGCTTAGATGAAATAGACGAAACGATTAGATGACCATTGTGTAATAATAATATAATAATAGTAACACGTACCGATCACTTGCTTGATAACGGCGTTACTACCCACACCGAAACGTCGCACTCATTGCAGTAAAAAAGTTGACTCTCCATGGAACTTGGTTTTCCTAAACTGAAATAGGTTCTGGGGATTCCAGCCCTTGACAAGTCGTTTAAACGCCGCTTCGTAAGTAATGGTTTTTGTGTGTGTATTAGTTAGTGATTACCTTAAATACATATAGCCAGAGTGTCACTTTGTCAGACTACACCACCGACATTGCCTTTGATGTAGTCAGGATATGGCTCTCACACATCCGGGTGGCTGTTGGGCGATATGTTGTGGTACCAGGTACGGTTTTGAGCCCATTAACACATATTCTGAATATTACACATGTATTGACATATACCTACAAACGCTGTTACCACTCTCCGTTCCTCAACATATGGAACCAATACATAATCCAGGCAAAATGAACTTTGTGGGCGCCATGATATAGAGACCCCCCAGACATTACGGCTACCTATCCTTCTTGCAGTCGGTTCTTACACCATGAATCTGCAGACTTATTCGGTCCCGACAACAGCTGAGACGGCTGTGATTATAAATGGTGTGGCTTACATGTCTCTTGTCCCTGATGATGACGTGCCATGGGGATTCCCCTTCCAGGACTTCCTTACCGCTGGCGATACGCCCCCCTCTACCTGCCTCCTTCACCACCTTAGGCCGCCCACAAGCTGAAACACAACACGCCAGTCATCATTCGTGGAACTGGATTGGTCCTTGGTAGTCGTGGTGAAGATGCTTTAGTCGGAGTGTAAGTACAGGAGGGAGATCGGTGAATCAATGCAAATATGTCCGACTGAAAACTTTCATCTTACATCAGAATTTGTTTAACAGACTTTAGACACGATCAAAGCGTTAAGACGATCGTAACTCTCATCGTCCATCCTGATATAGATATCCTATCACCATCATCATCAAAGACTTACTACAATCGTAGCCCTAATACCGCTTTGGGGAACGGGGATGAGGTGCCCTGTTCATTGTACGACACTACAAGACCTCACGGGGCGGTGGTGTAGCTAGTGGTTAAAGCGTTCACTCGTCACGCCGGAGACTCGTGTTCAATTCCTCACATGGGTGTCACCAGCCGTGATATTGCTGGGATATTTTTAAAAGCGGCGTAAAAACTCACTCACCCACTCATTACTCATACATGTGTGGCGTACAAAGAAATACCTCCTTATTGTATCCACATGGGACTTAGGCAACGGATGTTGTGTATTGATATCTGTCTTCATAATATTATGTTGATATCAACAAACCTTTCTTGTGGCCTATACCATCGATTGTCAAAATGGCGGATACCCTGGCTGAACAGCCGTTTGAGGCACGTGCAGCGCACGTGTATTCGCCAGCATCTGTTTCCACGATGTGGTCGAGTACCAGGTAGTTGTTCACCAGAATCTGACAAAGAAAACACAGGTGGGTTGATTTGAAGTTTAACACCAAGGTGAAATGCATGACAATAGATTGGAACAGCAGGGAATCCATACAGAATGGACGCTAATAACAGATAATTATGCAGAAGAGTAGATCGCCATAAACTGAACTCCATATAATTGTGTGTTGACACTACTTGAGTGAGTGAGTGAGTTTAGGTTTACGCCGCACTCAGCAATATTATAGCTACATGGCGGCGGTCTGTAAATAATCGTGTCTGGACCAGACAGTCCAGTGATCAACAGCATGAGCATCGAACTGCGCAATTGGGAACCGATGACATGTGTCAGCCAAGTCAGCGAGCCTGACCACCCGATCCCGTTAGTCGCCTCTTACGACAAGCATGGGTTACTGATGATCAATATTCTAACCAGGACCTTCACGGGTCTTACACCACTTGAACTCTTAACACCGCCATGCGCTATAAACGACAGTGTCGTGCGTAACTTGCAGCACCGTGAAGACAGCTGGGTACACCTGGATCAAATCCACAGAAAGTTCGTTGCGCTACGACATTCGTAAGCCTATGATAAACTAGAGTTACGACAGGTCGTAACGTTACGACGCTTGGTTGATAAGGACCCTGCACGATAGCGAGATGTAGCACTGCACTAATAGGACGGAGACTGCGCGTGGCACTGCGTGCTGCTGCAACTCTCATCACACATTTATATATACCTTCTTCCTTCGGTCAAATTTGATGATCTCCCCGTTCTTCCTCCACATGGTGTGTTCCGCATCGGGCACAAAGCACTGGAGTATAGCACTGCCGCCCTCCTCCACAGTCATGTTTTGGGGCGCCTTCTCTACACCTAGCAGCGACACACAGATATGTTCATAGATCGTGTCAAAACAATAACTCCAGGCACAACTGAACAAAACAATGTCACGTATACATTTCATTGTCTGAAAAGAAGTACATGTATTTCAGATAGAATAAAAACAGGTCTTCGTGTGTGCCGCCATCATCCCAATCCCACCGGCTTTTGTCTCTTTCGTAAGAAATTAAATCGTCAAACCGGGGCATGATGGTCTCTGGTCAAACTGATATGGAGATCGTAAATAAATCTTTGTGCTGGTCGCCTATTGGAGCCATAGAAGTGAATGTCAATCCTACTGGCACATTTGCAGAATTTCTAAGCAGGCGACGCGTGTTTTCCGTAGAGAAGGCATACTTTAAACTTATATATAGCGATGAAGGGATGAGGCTATTCAGTGACAGCAGCTTCTGAATCCCCGCCGCAACCACTGTGACATATGATGATATTCTGATCCAAATCTGGACATAAAAGTGGCTTCTTACGCAGTCTACATGGCTCTGTTAGCGTGACCCATGAGGACATCTCAAACAGGTTGCCGCCTGACAAAGCAACACACGTGTACTTCCCGTCCTGGTCGTCACTGACTTCCGGCACGTGCAGAACACCGCCCGGATGGACCTCGATACCCTCGGTGTGGTCGCCTTCACTGAGAATCCGGTCCCGATGCAACCTGGATCGGAATATGGAATCTTCATTTATGGAAGAACTATTCTGGACTACTCTCTGGTCGAGACAGAGGATGTCCTACTAAGGAGGACAAACAAGTACTAAAACAGGCAACTCATGGATCAAGCAACACCATAACTGTGTACTACCTCAGATTGGCAAGGCTATGCACCAATTCTGAAGAATGCCATATCATCCATCCTAGTCCTGCCACTTACGACATGCAATAGAGTACTGGACCCCGTTCCTGAAAGCAATCGTAGCCCTACGACAGTCCTTAAGTCTATGTTAAGGTATGAGAGTTACGATCACCTTAGCGTTACGATCGCTTTGTGGAACGGGACCCTGGCGTCTAATCATGTCCATCAGTTACTATATACTGGACAAACCACTGACACTCTGTCTTGTAGTGCCGTACTGACCACATGATGCCAACGTTTGGCTCCTCTACGGCACACTCCAGGAGGACGCTACTGCCTCGCGCTATGGTGATGTTGTGGGGCACCTTCGTGAACGTCACTCTGTCAGACTCCTGCAACAACACCAACAGGGCATTCTACACTTACTCTGCGATGTTCTTCGCTGCCTTTAAACTTAGATAAACTATAGCCACACAGATCATGCGAAATACATCTGCAAAACGTGATTTCATCGTGTTACAAGCGGATCCTCAGATGATGTAGAGTTGCCCGTTCCAGAAAGGAAGGGCGGGATTGAACAAACATTCTTAGTTTGTACACCGCGAGGACGATGGTAGACAGTACACGTCAAAGTCTAAGGTCTGTTTGAACACATTGATGATACTGGTCGAGGGGTTTACATGTACATTCGGACACTGCCAGCAATCGGACCCATAATGTGGTCAATCGTAGTGTGACCAGGGTCTCGATCCACAAAGCATTCGTAATGTTACGACCCGTGTTAACTCCCTGATTTATCATAGGCTTACGAATGTCGTAGTGCTACGAACGTTTCGTGGATCGGTTGTGACGTGACTATGAGCGAAAACATCATGGTTTGTTGATGCCGTCAGTTGACTGGGTTCACGTTTGGGTTTCACGACACCGTGACTTGACAGGTGGGTTTTTAGCGAGTAATGGTAAAGCTCGGTACACATACTGGAATCGTTTTGAACTGCGATTTGGAAATATATTCAACCTCCAGATGGGTAACTGTCAAAATACGTCATCATTGTAATGACTATATGATTTCTTAAAGCTCCTCACTACGAGGCAGAGATATATGATTTCAAAAATATGAAACTTGTTTTTATTTCTAATCAGTACAATAACGTTTCATTCGATCCCCCCAAAATGACAAAAATGTGAAATCTCTTCAAAGATAGGTTGCACAGCTTGACAGGAAGGATGGGTTACATACCAGCATGAGCTTTGTGGTACACAGGTTTCCCGTGTACCGCGGCAAACAGTGGCATTTTGGACCTCCGCCTTGAATGTAGCACGTGCCTCCGTTGTGACATGCGTAGTCCTCACATGTGACGATATCTTCATACTCACATTCTTCACCCGAGAAACCGCGAGAACAGTCACACCTCGAAGAACACGCATACGAGATATAGATGCACATAATAGATTAGGTCTAGGTTTACATAGCTGTCTATTTGAATCTTGAATGAAGTATTGCCTTTATCTTGTGAGGTGGTTAAGATGCAGTGAGGTGCCGTATTCCTATTTATTTCACGTTGTGTGTTATCACTAATGTATTTACTGACATCACAAATTCGATTTTAAAAATATCAAAACAACCTGTGTGTTTTAGATATCACAAAATCGAATATTTGATATCAATAATAAAAATATTGGAATCACAAATCTATTATCATATCACAAAAATATAAATTTTTAGATATAATTTTGACACTTATCCCGCATAAACCAGTTAGGTGCTGATGAAATATTATCCTTGATGATCCTTGTGCTGTTGAGTTGAGCCTGATACAACATGAGATAAAATGAGTTACCGACATCCCCGCTCTGCCGAATATAAATAGACTTTGAGGTTTCAAAACATAATTTTATACCTAAAACTTGAAGTCGTGATATCAATATTTAGTATAGATAATAAAACGACGCCTCACGTGATGCAGCAATAGTCCCGTTACACTTTCGTTTACTCTGGACACATTACCGAGATGACAGTGAGGCGTGGTCGTACCTACACACAGGCTTACTTACCTCCATGTGTTCCCGGACGAGTCGCTTTCCCCTTCTTTAACACAGGTTCCCCCGTTATTACACTGCAGTGGGCATGGCGACTCTGTGGAAGGATACAACAAAATGCGTTATGAGCAGATGCCTGTAGAAACGGTTAATTATTTAAGGTCGAGCGTCAATAACTTTCCCAAATTAAAATGACAGTAGCGTTTTAGTAACATTACATTGCTATTTTTAAAGCTATTTTCATATTCATAAGACTTCTTTGCTAAACGCAGAGTCAGTATCATGAGCATTTGTTGATGAATCGCCATCTGATGCTGATGACACCAGGTGTTCGCAGAATGTGAGCGTATCCTGTCCCATCGGTGGCAGTGTCACAAACAAAATACTGTAACCTTCAGAAAAGGAACAATTAAGTTATATTTCGGATCGTCAACAGACTTTATGATGCTCAAAGACGGTGGTGATCTAGTAGACTACCCCCAGGTTCCTTCCAACGACACCTTTTCATTTCAATATCAAATGTTCTCGTCACGATATGGCTGAAATATTGCCGATGTGACGTTAAATATTAACTCACTCACTCACTCACTCCAACGACACCTGTTCAGTGGTGAAGGGGTTTGTATGTTTAAAGACACAGGGGCCGAGAAAGTGTTGTTTCGTATATATGGCAATGTCCCACACAAAATACTGAAACCTTCAGAAAATGAACAACTAACTTTGTTACCTTTCATAACAGAATGTATTGTGGTAGACAACGTTGGTGATTTATCCCCAGTTCTGTCTAATGACAGTGGCTCATGGTGAGGGGGTATATATTATTAACGATACATGGACCGAGAAAGTGTTGTTTCATATATTCATATCGAATGCGCCCATTTGAGGAGACACTGATGTTTACCTTTCTGTAGCGGGGACACGAAGTAGCGTGCGACGTAGCCACCGGCGTTGACGGAAGTGTCAGAGGTGAAGGTCACCGTAACTGCTGTCGTGTCGAACGTGAATACGCGCTGTTTGGCACTGTCTCCACATATCACGTGACTGATAGTATCATTCGCTTCTCCGTATGGGGCTTGAAACAAAGAGAGAAATGTTTTTTTTATCGTACCATGTGTCATGGTGCAAATTCTCCAAACTCGGACTATGTCGATTTATCTGTCCATTGTTTGTAAACGTGTTGTAGTTCTGAACTGGATCACACTACAAAGAATGAGTCGTCATCGTTACCCCTTCAGTGTTACTTATTACTTAAAGGTTTAGATGAAATGTGTAAAATACAGATGTCATCCGGTTGGCTTTTCATTTGTTTGATAAACCTTGGGGTGTAGAATACTGTTAGACAAAGGTTATTTGGTAAGTATAATTCAACAGCCTTATTTAAATGTTCGTAAAACGTATGGCGATATAAAGTCCATACTTCAACCTACCTCAGTTCCATATTCTATCAAGCAGTGTTAAATCTGCAGGTAACATAACCCGAAACTGAAAACGGGGCGGTGGGGTAGCCTAGTGGTTAAAGCGTTGGCTCGTCACGCTGAAGACCCGGGTTCGATTCCCCACATGGGCACAATGTGTGAAGCCCATTTCTGGTGTCCCCCGCCGTGATGTTGCTGGAATATTGCTAAAAGCGGCGTAAAACTAAATTCAGTCAGTCAGTCGAAACTGAAAACTCTTTATAATTATATCATCCTTATCAACTTGCTGTACTAATGAAGAATTAGGACGATTGAGGACGTGAAATAATGTGCGTGTTTTATAAATGCAGAAATATGAAATATCATATTATATACTCCGGCAATATGCTCTGTATAAAAGGATAGTGGTAAGACCCCGTTAGTGACAATACATACCTTGATAGCAGTTTTTAGCGTTACAAGCCCCTGTGGTGACATAGAGAAGTCAGTGTACATATGAATCATGCATCATTGGATGACGATAGCCATGGTCAGTGTAGTCACATAATCCTACCTGGTGACAAAGTCACTGTGTCATATGTGCAGTTCTCGCTCTCCTCCAAATCAAACGTGACGAATTCTATTACAATGGTGCTTGGACTGGGCGCCCGGATGTAGGTCACGCACTTGCTGTTGTGGGGGTAAGCATCCGGGTACCTTGGGCTGGAGAAATTACCTTCTTCGCCGCTCAAAGTGTCTGTGCACGTTTTGGCAGCTGGAGAATTGACACAGAATATTTTACGCGCATTTGTTTTCTGGTAATATCAGTAAATATAGAAGACTAGTGTTTTTCCACTTTCAAATTATGTATTTTACTCACGAAGATTAGCAAAACAGCTGAATCATATACCTCTTGTAGTCTTCTCTGTGACGGTCGTAGTTGATGTTGTGGGGGCTGTGGTTGTAGCAACTGGCACCACGTTGTAGCTGATGTTGAAGCCACGTGTCTCTATTGCCGAGTCCGACGTAAACACGAGGTGAAGATGACGTCCTGATGATGTCCAGTTGCCTTCATAGGTCGTGCCGCAGAGCAACGCCAGTCTCTCAGAGTCTGAACAACAGATATTGCGTGATGTTTACGACATAGAGTCTCGCTGCTAAGTGACCTTCTCAGAGTGAGTGAGTGAGTGAGTATGAACTATGAGCACCATGGCCGTGAGGGAGACCGGAAGACCAGGAATGCCACAATGTCATTTAGAAAGTGGTCTAATGATATATTTGGGATAACTCTTTCTCAGTAAAGTGCAAATTCTAGTACTTTGGTTAGTTTTGGAGATTCGAGCGCACTCTCTCAGAGTCAGGTTACTACTCTCTAAATGGCGTTGTGTATTCATAGCTTTCGGCCGTTGGAGCCATGCCAATTTACACTTAACAGAGGGATACACAATGTACGTGATTTAGACTATCAGTTGTCCGATTTCCATTTTGGGGGGAAGCCGCGATGGCGTAGTGGCTTAAATTGCTGTTTTTGTGAGCTGACATTTAGGTCCTGACATTTAGGTCCTGAGTGTGAGCTGGAATCCCGAATGAGACTCAACCAGGCGCGTAGCAAGCCAATTTTTTCGTGTAAGCCCGATAGATTGCAAAGCTTTATATCTAGATAGTGTTGAGGGCTTGCCCAACCTTTTTAGCAACAATCATGTGTAAGCCCGGGCTTTTTTTCGTAATGGAAGCTACGCCCCTGTCAAACCAACAAAAGTACAAGAATCTGATCTTTACTGAGAAAGTGTAATCCCAAATATAACACTTTACACAGGAAGAACAATTACGAAATTACAAGTTTTGTGTCTCATCATCGTTTCTTTTAACCTCGATTAGATATACTTATATAAGATATACTTGGGCTCGCACCACTTAGTAATAACATAAGTTTCCCAAGGATTGACGCTAGCTAAAAGCTAGTATTTTCTTGATAAGACAATGCTCACACAATTATTATCTATGGGAGTTCTACAAACCTGTGTTTGAGCCGTCGTATATGGCAACGTTGTCAAAGTCACAGGGCGACGTCTCGACTTCCAAATACAGAAGCCGAAGTTCGACAACGCTGTGTGGAGGGCCCTGTTTAAACAACATAGATACCAGCGGAATGACTTTTTGAATTACATCAAGTTTTCAGGTTATCGAGATGCTACTTTACTTGGCTAGTTGGATATTTAATACAATTCATATCCCAGTTAGTTTGCATGTTTGTTGTTTAACGCCACAATCATCAATATTCTAGTTATACCATTGCGGCCAGTGACCGAGTCAGGTCCAGATATACCAGTGAGTGATAACATGAGCAACATCCACGGACGGCAGGATACGGAGACCGTCATCAGTCAAGTGGATTGGTAACTATGGAACCTATTCCCGAATCGCCACCAACCTGTATAGTGTAGTGGCACAAAACTCTCGGGGGGTAGGGCACCGGGAAGTCGGGGGAGGTGATGAACCCACTTTCTTCCGTCAACGTCGTGTTACAGTAGTCCTCGGCAACATCTACAACATCAGCCCATATTCTACAGTTATCTCCTGCACAGTGTTGTGATGTATGTTTGCATGCAGTGTGGTGTCCCTCGGTCGTGGCTTTACTTTATCTGTAATTTAACATGGCATCTATAGTGGTGATGTGTGGCCTCGGTCATGACTTTACTTTTTATCTGTAATTTAACATGACATCTATAGTGGTGATGTGTGGCCTCGGTCATGGTGATTTCGGTCTTGGCTTTATATCTGTAATTTAACATGGCATCTATAGTGGTGATGTGTGGCCTCGGTCATGACTTTACTATATCTGTAATTTAACATGACATCTATAGTGGTGATGTGTGGCCTCGGTCATGACTTTACTATATCTGTAATTTAACATGACATCTATAGTGGTGATGTGTGGCCTCGGTCATGACTTTACTATCTGTAATTTAACATGACATCTATAGTGGTGATGTGTGGCCTCGGTCATGACTTTACTATATCTGTAATTTAACATGACATCTATAGTGGTGATGTGTGGCCTCGGTCATGACTTTACTTATATCTGTAATTTAACATGACATCTATAGTGGTGATGTGTGGCCTCGGTCATGACTTTACTTTACTATATCTGTAATTTAACATGACATCTATAGTGGTGATGTGTGGCCTCGGTCATGACTTTACTATATCTGTAATTTAACATGACATCTATAGTGGTGATGTGTGGCCTCGGTCATGACTTTACTATATCTGTAATTTAACATGACATCTATAGTGGTGATGTGTGGCCTCGGTCATGACTTTACTATATCTGTAATTTAACATGACATCTATAGTGGTGATGTGTGGCCTCGGTCATGACTTTACTATATCTGTAATTTAACATGACATCTATAGTGGTGATGTGTGGCCTCGGTCATGACTTTACTTTATCTGTAATTTAACATGACATCTATGACTTTACTATATCTGTGGTCTATAGTGGTGATGTGTGGCCTCGGTCATGACTTTACATCTGTAATTTAACATGACATCTATAGTGGTGGTCCTCGGTGCGTTGCGTTGCGTTGCGTTGCGTGCGCGTTGCGTTGCAGTGCGTTGCGCGTGTGCGTTGCGTTGCTGTGCGGTGCGGTGCGGTGCGGTGCGGTGCGGTGCGGTGCGGTGCGGTGTGTGGTATGGTGCGGTGTGGTGTGGTCCAGGGTAGTGTAGAGTAGTGGCGTGCATTGGTGCGCAGTGCAGCGCAGCGCAAAGCAGCGTAGTGGAGGGTATATCAGCGTATATACCTGATCGGACAGGGTCGAAGTTGAGCCTAAAGCCAATCCCATCGCCTGCTGCGTCCGTCTGGAATCGGAGGGTTATGACGTCAGACGAGGACATGAAGGAGATGTGTTCGTTCCCACAATACCTTGCCCTTCCATACTCACTATCTTGTACTTCAAGGTAATCCCATCTGTTGAAATACATACAATCAACCTATTTGTTTCGGATATATTTTTTCAGCCTTTTACATATTTCTTATGAAGCAGTATATATTACCGGTTGAAAACACCAAAAATTATGTCTTTAAAGTCGAATTGTTTGACTAGTTACCACGAAAAGTCACATATATCTCAAGGTCAAGTAAAAACATAAACATTTGTATGACCATTTCTGTAAAATACAAACAATAAATGTTCTAGAAATCGGAAAATAATGATTTTAAAATGGGCAACACAAACAAGCCGTATTTTCTGAAAAGAGCTATTCACAGCAAATTAATTTCATTTTGAAAGCACATCATCATATAGTATGTGTCTAATTAACCCATATTCTTGCATTTCACTTTCAAGCATCATCATGCAGAGATCATCTTTCGATAAAGGTTACCTTGAGGTATCAATATGAAACACAATCATATTTAAGATTTCCAAATATTTCTGTCACTACCTACAGGCACTGTGATTGATCCTCAAGGTCAAAGTACTGTGACGTCATGTTCATTCTCCAACCCGGGGCTGTTTTGACTACCCAGATGCAGTCGAGGTCTGCTGGGTAGTACTCTGGGAAGCCGGGGGACTCTACAGCTTCTGTACCCGCCATCACTTCACCCCCACACGCGAACACTGAGTGGTAAGATATAAACACATGTTCTTATACAAGATGCTCTATCACTTCACCCCCACACGCGAACACTGAGTGGTAAGATATAAACACATGTTCTTATACAAGATGCTCTATCACTTCACCCCCACAGGCGAACACTGAGTGGTAAGATATAAACACATGTTCTTATACAAGATGCTCTATCACTTCACCCCCACAGGCGAACACTGAGTGGTAAGATATAAACACATGTTCTTATACAAGATGCTCTATCACTTCAACTCCACAGGCGAACACTGAGTGGTAAGATATAAACACATGTTCTTATACAAGATGCTCTATCACTTCACCCCCACACGCGAACACTGAGTGGTAAGATATAAACACATGTTCTTATACAAGATGCTCTATCACTTCAACACCACAGGCGAACACTGAGAGGTAAGATATAAACACATGTTCTTATACAAGATGCTCTATCACTTCATCTCCACAGGCGAACACTGAGTGGTAAGATATAAACACATGTTCTTATACAAGATGCTCTATCACTTCACCTCCACACGCGAACACTGAGTGGTAAGATATAAACACATGTTCTTATACAAGATGCTCTATCACTTCACCCCACACGCGAACACTGATTGGTAAGATATAAACACATGTTCTTATACAAGATGCTCTATCACACATGTTCTTATACAAGATGCTCTATCACTTCAACACCACAGGCGAACACTGAGAGGTAAGATATAAACACATGTTCTTATACAAGATGCTCTATCACTTCACCCCACACGCGAACACTGAGTGGTAAGATATAAACACATGTTCTTATACAAGATGCTCTATCACTTCACCCCCACACGCGAACACTGAGTGGTAAGATATAAACACATGTTCTTATACAAGATGCTCTATCACTTCAAGGTGCTCCCCACACGCGAACACTGAGTGGTAAGATATAAACACATGTTCTTATACAAGATGCTCTATCACTTCAACTCCACAGGCGAACACTGAGTGGTAAGATATAAACACATGTTCTTATACAAGATGCTCTATCACTTCACCTCCACAGGCGAACACTGAGTGGTAAGATATAAACACATGTTCTTATACAAGATGCTCTATCACTTCACCTCCACAGGCGAACACTGAGTGGTAAGATATAAACACATGTTCTTATACAAGATGCTCTATCACTTCACTCCACACGCGAACACTGAGTGGTAAGATATAAACACATGTTCTTATACAAGATGCTCTATCACTTCACCTCCACACGCGAACACTGAGTGGTAAGATATAAACACATGTTCTTATACAAGATGCTCTATCACTTCACCCCACACGCACACTGAACACTGAGTGGTAAGATATAAACACATGTTCTTATACAAGATGCTCTATCACTTCACCTCCACACGCGAACACTGAGTGGTAAGATATAAACACATGTTCTTATACAAGATGCTCTATCACTTCACCCCCACAGGCGAACACTGAGTGGTAAGATATAAACACATGTTCTTATACAAGATGCTCTATCACTTCACCCACCACACGCGAACACTGAGTGGTAAGATATAAACACATGTTCTTATACAAGATGCTCTATCACTTCACCCCCACACGCGAACACTGAGTGGTAAGATATAAACACATGTTCTTATACAAGATGCTCTATCACTTCACCACCACACGCGAACACTGAGTGGTAAGATATAAACACATGTTCTTATACAAGATGCTCTATCACTTCACCCCCACACGCGAACACTGAGTGGTAAGATATAAACACATGTTCTTATACAAGATGCTCTATCACTTCACCTCCACACGCGAACACTGAGTGGTAAGATATAAACACATGTTCTTATACAAGATGCTCTATCACTTCATCTCCACAGGCGAACACTGAGTGGTAAGATATAAACACATGTTCTTATACAAGATGCTCTATCACTTCACCCCCACACGCGAACACTGAGTGGTAAGATATAAACACATGTTCTTATACAAGATGCTCTATCACTTCACCCCACACGCGAACACTGAGTGGTAAGATATAAACACATGTTCTTATACAAGATGCTCTATCACTTCACCTCCACACGCGAACACTGAGTGGTAAGATATAAACACATGTTCTTATACAAGATGCTCTATCACTTCAACTCCACACACGAACACTGTTAAGGTATACAAGATATAAATCACGCATGTTCTTATACAAGGTGCTCCATATTTACTTCACCTCCACACGCGAACACTGAGTGGTAAGATATAAACACATGTTCTTATACAAGATGCTCTATCACTTCAACTCCACAGGCGAACACTGAGTGGTAAGATATAAACACATGTTCTTATACAAGATGCTCTATCACTTCACCCCCACACGCGAACACTGAGTGGTAAGATATAAACACATGTTCTTATACAAGATGCTCTATCACTTCACCCCCACACGCGAACACTGAGTGGTAAGATATAAACACATGTTCTTATACAAGATGCTCTATCACTTCACCTCCACAGGCGAACACTGAGTGGTAAGATATAAACACATGTTCTTATACAAGATGCTCTATCACTTCACCCCCACACGCGAACACTGAGTGGTAAGATATAAAAAACATGTTCTTATACAAGATGCTCTATCACTTCACCTCCACACGCGAACACTGAGTGGTAAGATATAAACACATGTTCTTATACAAGATGCTCTATCACTTCACCCCACACGCGAACACTGAGTGGTAAGATATAAACACATGTTCTTATACAAGATGCTCTATCACTTCAACTCCACAGGCGAACACTGAGTGGTAAGATATAAACACATGTTCTTATACAAGATGCTCTATCACTTCACCTCCACACGCGAACACTGAGTGGTAAGATATAAACACATGTTCTTATACAAGATGCTCTATTCACTTCAACTCCACAGGCGAACACTGAGTGGTAAGATATAAACACATGTTCTTATACAAGATGCTCTATCACTTCACCCCACACACGAACACTGAGTGGTAAGATATAAACACATGTTCTTATACAAGATGCTCTATCACTTCACCCCCACACGCGAACACTGAGTGGTAAGATATAAACACATGTTCTTATACAAGATGCTCTATCACTTCATCACCACACGCGAACACTGAGTGGTAAGATATAAACACATGTTCTTATACAAGATGCTCTATCACTTCATCTCCACACGCGAACACTGAGTGGTAAGATATAAACACATGTTCTTATACAAGATGCTCTATCACATTTCACACCACACACTCCAACACTGAGTGGTAAGATATAAACACATGTTCTTATACAAGATGCTCTATCACTTCATACAAGATGCTCACACTTCATCTCCACAGGTGAACACTGAGTGGTAAGATATAAACACATGTTCTTATACAAGATGCTCTATCACTTCACTTCCACACGCGAACACTGAGTGGTAAGATATAAACACATGTTCTTATACAAGATGCTCTATCACTTCACCTCCACACGCGAACACTGAGTGGTAAGATATAAACACATGTTCTTATACAAGATGCTCTATCACTTCACCTCCACACGCGAACACTGAGTGGTAAGATATAAACACATGTTCTTATACAAGATGCTCTATCACTTCATACTCCACACACGCGAACACTGAGTGGTAAGATATAAACACATGTTCTTATACAAGATGCTCTATCACTTCACTTCTCCACAGGCGAACACTGAGTGGTAAGATATAAACACATGTTCTTATACAAGATGCTCTATCACTTCACCCCCACACGCGAACACTGAGTGGTAAGATATAAACACATGTTCTTATACAAGATGCTCTATCACTTCATGTTCCACACGCGAACACTGAGTGGTAAGATATAAACACATGTTCTTATACAAGATGCTCTATCACTTCAACTCCACACGCGAACACTGAGTGGTAAGATATAAACACATGTTCTTATACAAGATGCTCTATCACTTCATCTCCACAGGCGAACACTGAGTGGTAAGATATAAACACATGTTCTTATACAAGATGCTCTATCACTTCACCTCCACACGCGAACACTGAGTGGTAAGATATAAACACATGTTCTTATACAAGATGCTCTATCACTTCACCCCACACGCGAACACTGAGTGGTAAGATATAAACACATGTTCTTATACAAGATGCTCTATCACTTCACCCCCACACGCGAACACTGAGTGGTAAGATATAAACACATGTTCTTATACAAGATGCTCTATCACTTCACCTCCACACGCGAACACTGAGTGGTAAGATATAAACACATGTTCTTATACAAGATGCTCTATCACTTCACCCCCACACGCGAACACTGAGTGGTAAGATATAAACACATGTTCTTATACAAGATGCTCTATCAACACTGGAGTGGTTCAACCTCCACACCTCCACACGAACACTGAGTGGTAAGATATAAACACATGTTCTTATACAAGATGCTCTATCACTTCATCTCCACAGGCGAACACTGAGTGGTAAGATATAAACACATGTTCTTATACAAGATGCTCTATCACTTCACCCCCACACGCGAACACTGAGTGGTAAGATATAAACACATGTTCTTATACAAGATGCTCTATCACGCATGTTCTTATACAAGGTGCTCCATATTTACTTCACCTCCACACGCGAACACTGAGTGGTAAGATATAAACACATGTTCTTATACAAGATGCTCTATCACTTCATCTCCACAGGCGAACACTGAGTGGTAAGATATAAACACATGTTCTTATACAAGATGCTCTATCACTTCACCCCCACACGCGAACACTGAGTGGTAAGATATAAACACATGTTCTTATACAAGATGCTCTATCACTTCACCCCCACACGCGAACACTGAGTGGTAAGATATAAACACATGTTCTTATACAAGATGCTCTATCACTTCAACTCCACAGGCGAACACTGAGTGGTAAGATATAAACACATGTTCTTATACAAGATGCTCTATCACTTCACCCCCACACGCGAACACTGAGTGGTAAGATATAAACACATGTTCTTATACAAGATGCTCTATCACTTCATCTCCACAGGCGAACACTGAGTGGTAAGATATAAACACATGTTCTTATACAAGATGCTCTATCACTTCACCCCCACACGCGAACACTGAGTGGTAAGATATAAACACATGTTCTTATACAAGATGCTCTACTGAGACTGAGTAAGATATAAACACATGTTCTTATACAAGATGCTCTATCACTTCAACTCCACAGGCGAACACTGAGTGGTAAGATATAAACACATGTTCTTATACAAGATGCTCTATCACTTCATCTCCACAGGCGAACACTGAGAGGTAAGATATAAACACATGTTCTTATACAAGATGCTCTATCACTTCAACTCCACAGGCGAACACTGAGTGGTAAGATATAAACACATGTTCTTATACAAGATGCTCTATCACTTCACCCCCACACGCGAACACTGAGTGGTAAGATATAAACACATGTTCTTATACAAGATGCTCTATCACTTCACCTCCACACGCGAACACTGAGTGGTAAGATATAAACACATGTTCTTATACAAGATGCTCTATCACTTCACCCCCACACGCGAACACTGAGTGGTAAGATATAAACACATGTTCTTATACAAGATGCTCTATCACTTCACTTCACTCCACAGGCGAACACTGAGTGGTAAGATATAAACACATGTTCTTATACAAGATGCTCTATCACTTCAACTCCACAGGCGAACACTGAGTGGTAAGATATAAACACATGTTCTTATACAAGATGCTCTATCACTTCATCTCCACAGGCGAACACTGAGAGGTAAGATATAAACACATGTTCTTATACAAGATGCTCTATCACTTCACCCCCACACGCGAACACTGAGTGGTAAGATATAAACACATGTTCTTATACAAGATGCTCTATCACTTCACTCTCCACAGGCGAACACTGAGTGGTAAGATATAAACACATGTTCTTATACAAGATGCTCTATCACTTCACCCTCCACACGCGAACACTGAGAGGTAAGATATAAACACATGTTCTTATACAAGATGCTCTATCACTTCAACTCCACAGGCGAACACTGAGTGGTAAGATATAAACACATGTTCTTATACAAGATGCTCTATCACTTCATCTCCACAGGCGAACACTGAGTGGTAAGATATAAACACATGTTCTTATACAAGATGCTCTATCACTTCACCTCCACACGCGAACACTGAGTGGTAAGATATAAACACATGTTCTTATACAAGATGCTCTATCACTTCACAAGATGCTCTCCACACAGCGAACACTGAGTGGTAAGATATAAACACATGTTCTTATACAAGATGCTCTATCACTTCATCTCCACAGGCGAACACTGAGAGGTAAGATATAAACACATGTTCTTATACAAGATGCTCTATCACTTCACCTCCACACGCGAACACTGAGAGGTAAGATATAAACACATGTTCTTATACAAGATGCTCTATCACTTCACCTCCACACGCGAACACTGAGTGGTAAGATATAAACACATGTTCTTATACAAGATGCTCTATCACTTCACCTCCACACGCGAACACTGAGTGGTAAGATATAAACACATGTTCTTATACAAGATGCTCTATCACTTCACCTCCACACGCGAACACTGAGAGGTAAGATATAAACACATGTTCTTATACAAGATGCTCTATCACTTCAACTCCACAGAACACTGAGTGGTAAGATATAAACACATGTTCTTATACAAGATGCTCTATCACTTCATCTCCACAGGCGAACACTGAGTGGTAAGATATAAACACATGTTCTTATACAAGATGCTCTATCACTTCAACTCCACAGGCGAACACTGAGAGGTAAGATATAAACACATGTTCTTATACAAGATGCTCTATCACTTCATCTCCACAGGCGAACACTGAGTGGTAAGATATAAACACATGTTCTTATACAAGATGCTCTATCACTTCACCTCCACACGCGAACACTGAGTGGTAAGATATAAACACATGTTCTTATACAAGATGCTCTATCACACATGTTCTTATACAAGATGCTCTATCACTTCACCTCCACACGCGAACACTGAGTGGTAAGATATAAACACATGTTCTTATACAAGATGCTCTATCACTTCAACTCCACAGGCGAACACTGAGAGGTAAGATATAAACACATGTTCTTATACAAGATGCTCTATCACTTCAACTCCACAGGCGAACACTGAGTGGTAAGATATAAACACATGTTCTTATACAAGATGCTCTATCACTTCAACTCCACAGGCAAACACTGAGTGGTAAGATATAAACACATGTTCTTATACAAGATGCTCTATCACTTCATCTCCACAGGCGAACACTGAGAGGTAAGATATAAACACATGTTCTTATACAAGATGCTCTATCACACATGTTCTTATACAAGGTGCTCTATCACTTCAACTCCACAGGCGAACACTGAGAGGTAAGATATAAACACATGTTCTTATACAAGGTGCTCCATATTTACTTCACCTCCACACGCGAACACTGAGTGGTAAGATATAAACAAGCACATGTTCTTATACAAGATGCTTGTGAAAATTCTGTTAAGGATATTAAGTACATAAGGACATTTTGGTTGTTGCTTCCTCTCCTGAGAGGTTCTGGCAATAATTGTAGAAGTACATCTGGCATAAGCACATTGGATGCAAAGATACAATATTGATTTCGTGCACTTTATGCACATGAAGAAATATGGAATCCGAGAAGGGACATTGTCGCGTTTACACATCTTAGACAATGCGACAACGCGACATATTTTGACTTTGAAAATTGTCGCTATGTCGCCCTTTGGAGGAATAGAAAACTATTTTTTTTCAAAACGCGACATGCGACATCGCGACAATGCGACAAATGGCCGAAATGTCGGGTTGTCGCATGTCGCGTTTTGCTTAATTTTGCCTCATTTTGCTTGTATTTGAGAGGGCAACAACGCGACAATGCGACAACGCGACAATGTCCCTTCCAGGATTCCATAAAGAAATGAATATAAGCTTGAAATATTTTCTTTCTGCAGGGCACATTAAAAATGAATATATTTGTTTAGATTTATTATGAATTTAATGTATTATTTTAAAATTCACAAACCTGGGAAAGCTTTAAATGCTGGATATAAGTGTTTTCTTCGTAGCAAATAAGAGAATACTTAGTGTTTTCATTCGTATCATAAAGCTGGTGTGTAACTAAACTCTCTCCTGGGGCACCATTCTGCCCTAGTATCACCACAACCAGTTGTGTCCGGTCTTACATATAAGTACATCCTGAAATACAATGCGTGTCTCAACGAAACATACATTCTACTCATAAACCCTTGTACACAACTTGCGTTAAAGTGTAACAGCGTTTGTTTATCAAACATAGAAGTATGTAACAGTTCCGTTCAGCACAAACATATCCGTCACACTTACTTTCACTTGTCATCCCAGAAGACTCTCCAGTTTCAAACCACGCCCATGTTGAGCTGATCCACAACGCGAGTGTAAAAACTCTGAACACTGTACGTAGAAACCGCATTTGAATGTTGAAAGAACACACTGGTTTTCAAGGGAGATATTTTTCTGAGACTCTGCATCAGTTAATAAAGAAGGAGGGTCTATCTGTCGTGGCAAACACGTGGTGGCGTTTCTAAAGACATGGCTGCCAGTGGTCACTCGTTACAAGAATCTACACTTTCGTTTTTCTTAAGGTGGTCACGTGTCACCACTTAACAAGCGCTACTGACACCATTAGCGTCTGGGAGGTCAACAAGGTCAAAATTGAAACATAAAGTCGTTTTGAATATAGTGGTTTTGCTCCCCGGAGGACACCCTTATAGAACCCCATGTGCGTCTGCCTTGGACAAGGAATATAGTATCACTTCCGACACTGAACACCCTACTTGTGTCGCCTGCTTATCTTTCCTGCTAATGAGTCCTGTACCACGAAGCGCCTGAACAATGACCTACTTAGAACAACATCGGACTACGGCAGTTAGTCTGGTCAGCCAGGAACGAGGCAGTGACCTTGACCTGGGGGGCACCAGGCTCGTCAATTACGTCTGAGCTAAGTTATATATGTGTAACACATTTGATGAAATCGATCCAATTGAAACCTTTAATCTTTGACGAATGTTACATTAAGAGAATATCAATGCCTCTAGAAAGGAGAATTTTGATTTTGACACAAAACAATCGGACTAAATCCTCCCTGCCCAAAAGAAGTGAGGTAACATAAACGATTGACCTCCCGGAACTGACAAACAAAAGAATGTGAACAGGTCTTCTTGACCCAGTGGGTCTTAAAATTTACTAGAGCTGACCTGTCAACTAGAATATACTCTTTGAATACAAAACAAGGTTATTTTGTGATCAGCAGGTTTATCGTGCATACTAGAAGAACAAACTATACTATCCCCCCAAAAAACCGCATAGGCGTTTTGTATTTTTTAAATCTATGAATTACCTATTGTGTTCAAACAATCGTCAAAACATGTAACCAAAGTGTTGATAACATGATTTTACACAATTGCACAAGTGAAAACTCGACTTTACCTGAAAATGTTGATTTTGAATGAGATTTCTTAAAAGAATTAAAAACGCATCACCACAACGCAACAAAAATCACCTTCAAGTTGAAATTGCGCAGCAAAGAGCATGCACTGTCTGGCTATAAAAGTCCAGGTTACATTCGGAAATCGGCATTCGTTTTGAAGGAGTTTCAAGGTCAAATCACTACGCCACGTCTTGACGTTGCGACAAGGAACATTGCTACTGAAAGAATTCACGCTGGAGATTACCAATCCTCTGTTGCCAGGCGTCTGAATGTTAGTCTGAGAACGATATCATGGCTTGCAGCTCCTTACATCCAAACATGTATAACAAATGACCGTGCCCGTACAGGCAGACATCGAGTCACCACTGCAGCCCAAGATCGGCACATCCGGGTACTACATTTGCGTGATCGTACTGCCACGGGTGAGAGCACAGTAGCCAGGGTGCCTGGATATCCGGTCAAACTGTACGGAACATGTTGAGAGAGATTGGACTGAGAGCCAGGAAAGCCGACGTCGGGACCGTGCTACGTGGTCACCATCGCGCTCAACGTCTCCGTTTTGTTTTCTTTTGTCCATTATGCGTACTGCATGCGTAAACTTCTGATTTTTTTCTGATTATCATTAAAGAGTAGTTTTTATAGTCTTTTTATAATTAAAAAGGTTTAATAGCAGTCTCTATAATACTCATTGTAATAGATGACGCTGTGTAATATTTTCAAAAACGAAAATAGACAAACCCAACTTGATTTGACACAGCGTTCATTTAGTATCCACACGGCCAGTCGGGCTAACCAGACACGATTGTAACTGGACCGTACCAACTTTTACTAGACAATGTTGTTCGGAGGTGCCTTAGTGTCGAACCCACCATGGGTTGAATACACAATGCCATTAAGAGAATGGTCAAAGTTAACATATGTTATATTTGGGATTACACTCTCTCAGTAAAGTACAGATGCTAGTACTTCTTGGGTTGAGACAGATCGCTGAAATTGTGTGCTGACGATTTAATTGCTGCATGTCGTGGTATCCCAGCTCCGTAGATCGGAGATCATTTTCTATAACTTGATTGTCAGGTCTATACATATTGACAGGCAGCCTTCGTAAAGCCGGAATATCGTCAACAAAGACGTTAAGCCATAAAACAAACATCATTACGCGAAGGAAAGTACGTTTACTGAAGTCATAGCCAATTATTATAGTCCTACTGTCCACGAGACAAACCGCTACATACACAAGTTTGTTCTATATACAAATATAGGATCTGTCGCCTTGACAACCAAATTGTAAAATCAATCAATGAATTGGAGAAAAACAAACTTCTCTGAGCCATTGCATGGCCGGGATCAAACAAAGCATTATATGGCTATATCGTAGAGGAACCATAAAACCACTCGCCCTGTCATTTGTTAAGTCACCAATAGGCATGTCTGGACGCCGTGAAGACCAGAGAGGCGTCATTCCGCCGAATTAACACACACTATGAAAACGGAAATAGTGGTTGACTTGTAGCAATGACAAATACTCTTGGCGCATGTTTACAATGTGTAGTATTCTATGTAAACAGTCTCGTCTCTTTGTGTTCACAATATACGTACTATTCAGTGCTACACATTTCATGATCCAACCCCTTCGGGTACCTAATAACCTTAGCTTTACAATGGTGGATGTTTATTATGTTGTTTGTTGTAACCTACTTCCTCCGACTACCGAGAGTTTCTAGAATGCTCACGTAGTTTGTCGCTAGTAATTATCAATCCTTACACGCAATAAGTTCACTTTTAAGTGTATGGGACCCGTGAAGATCCGGGTTTGAATTGCTCTTTGTCGCCAGGGACGATCGGGTGGTCAGGCTCGCAGGCTTGGTTGACACATCCCACTTGAGTAGATTGATGCTCATGATGTTGATCACTTGATTGTCTAGCCCAGACTCGATTATATACAGACCGCCGCCATATTGCTGAGTGAGGCGTAAGACAATAAACCAAGCCAAGTGTATGATTCATTGAGTAATCTCTTCCCTGATTAAACCTCATGAGGGTTTCTTTGTCATAAATTCAGAAATAATTTGTCATTCCGAATATTCTTTTTCAATTTGCATGTTATATTAGTTATCGTATGACTATTATTACTAGAAAGCACTACTGAATCTTACAGATGCTGTATAATTCCAGAGTAGTTATCAAACTTGGCTCAGCTTTGGTTGCCGCTACATACTTAAGATACTGAACTTGACATTAACTTGTTCGTGGTGGAATCAATCTAATAGCGACTTCGACGGGCGATATTTGTTTCTTCTAAGCCTGAAAAGCACACCTAATATATGTTACAACTAATAATTATATCAGAATATCCTAGTCCGAGACACTGAACATGTCCAATATACAAGCCCCATTTTATTCTCCCAGCAGTACAACTATAATATAATGACATGAGGGCTGGTTCAGTGTCCGTCGCTTGCTCCTCTGGTTTCTACTCAGCAACGTAACGCACGCAGTTGATATCAGTCATTGAAAGTGTGTTGGAAATTGTGATATTAATCTCTCGTAAAGATGACACACACAGTAATTGTGTTATTTTGTTGCAACAAAATGACAGCAAAATAAGGACTCTGCCACGTGATATGCTACTATCGTAAAAGAGTAAAAAAGACGTTTCCTCAGGAATGGCTGTGACGGGCTTCCGGGTTCCCGTAAAGGTCAACATCCCACAGACACAGTGTGAAGAATCACATCCGGGTTACAGTGTGCTAAGCAGTGTATGTTGAAATCTTCCTATTGTTTCTTAAGTGACAATAATGAAAGCAAACATGTTAGTACACTCAGTTTGTGACGGTCTGATTTCTGTGTCAGTATGAAACATACGATGTGAGTTTAGAATGGTCCTTGTGGTAGGGATTCGAACTCAGATCTTTCCAGTGACGAGAAAACGCATCGCCAAACACACCAAGGTCTACATAATCACATTTAGATGAAAGGACAGCGGGATTCAGCATACCGACTTGCATAACGTGTTGAACGACAATACGTGCATTTAGCCGTTTCCGGTGTTTGAGAAGGGGAGATCACTCTCGTTTGTCACATGGAAGTCCAGCAGTAGTTTTCCCCTAGGCAAAGATACTGAATGTGCCTTCTCTGGTCATTGCTCCTGCAACCTGTCGAGAAGGCTTGTTACTGTGAAGCGATTGCCCGTTAAACGGCTTTGGGTTATCAGTGTTGCGTGGTTTATCTGCAAAGACGACATTACAAGAGCCAATTACAAAACCACTGTGATATAGGTCCCGTGATATACGTATGAAAAGAACTCGTCGACTTGACACTAAGAGCAAGGTATTGGTAATCACGGATATGGTTTAAAAAAACAGAATCCTTTCACACATGCTTTATAGTTCTGATGACACCAGGTGTTTGACCATTGGGACTAACGTTACTCGTACCGAAGGTCGATATTTAAAAGTTCAGAACAAATGCCTATTGTCTTCCTTTGTTTTTATCTTCGTGTTATTTGTATATCTCCCACAAAATTCCATATCCAAATCATGAACACGTTGTATATGTTATTGGTACTGTTACATAAAACGATATTCATTGACTCATTCTGTATTTGCGAAACACTGCATATTTTGGGAAAAAGATCAATCAATGTTTCATCTTTGAGAGTAATGACCTTGGTTTGTCATGTGTACAGTTTCTGAACTGGTCTAGGATGAACACCGTACCTTGTGCAGGAGAAACTGTTAGGGGTTTCTTGTCTCGCCTCCGACGACGACACTGAAGTCTGCCTTTGCAACATACCACGACAATGACAACGACGACAACTACCCCAACAGCAGCAGCCAGCACACTGAGAACAACTACAGCTACACTGGTAAACAGAGAATATACGAACACTATTTTCTCAAATATAATCGAAGGCGAGTTTCTTAATCTCGAAACCGGATACATGTAAACTGTCTCGAATGTAATTATACTGAGGGAAACAAATAAGGGAACACCACTTCATGACAGTGTTCTCTTATATATTGTTAGATCCCACAGCTATTCAATGCTGGTGATGAAAACTGGAAAATATTAAAGAAACACTTGAAGTTTCCGGCGTTCCTTTATTTGTTTTTCTCATTATAGTTTAAAGTTAATACACGGTCTATACTATAAGTCACATGTTCATACTGAATCCTTTATCTCGAAGTCTCTGACGAATAATTCACTTACTGATTTCACAATTAGTTTCCCATTAGTTCAGTAGTAAGTGCCTTGCGTTTATACCAACTTGGACGACAAGATTAAGCCAGACCATACTCTAACATTGCGACTTAAACACATTGGACGAATGTCTGGCTCTGAACCAGACATATATGGATGTTCAACTATCTGTAGCACAGAAAGAGGAAGTGTCCTTCTTGTCCTCTTCTTTTGCTATGACAACAACTACATGAGAGCACAACCTCTGTGTGACTATTACAACACAGTAATTTTGGAAACCCCTTACCAGGGTTACTATGACAACTCCATCAAGTGGCCACACCCGATCTCAGCATGGATGACAGCATTACTTTACCTGCTTTGCCCGTCTGTGTAGCTGCAGCAAGTGTTGTCACAGCAGTCGGACTCGCAGTAGACAGCACTGACGCTGCCGGCGTTGTTGAAGGTGCAGGGCTGACCTGCATCAGTCGGCACTGAGGACACAAGACGCAGTAGTCAGTAATATCTTACACCTAAGTAATCAGCTTCATTTTTGATAGATAGATGATGTTAAAGGCTGATCGGTACTGTCTCTGACTATTGTCTGGTTGTAATGTAGCCGAACCACGTCTCACGCCAAGAACACGGATTGGGGTGATGCCGTTAAAATCCCGGGTTCGATTCCACTCCACAATGCGTGAAGTCCACTTCTGAGACTTTGGTATTGATGACATATAGTGACTGACGGACTAAAGACGTTTTAAATGATACTGTTTTGGTAGAGTGGATACCCTGTTTGATTGGCGTTTTAGAAGTTGATGAGTTGCCCGCCAAGGTTGTGCAGTCGTTCAGTTGCCACTACTGAAAGTGGCCTGTTACGTGCTCTCAAGAACGCATATGGTCCTGACAAATATAAAAACATGGTCTGTGCGAATCTTGCATTCAAACCCGCGATCATTGGTTTCATGGGTGCCTCTACATAATATTCGAGAGTGCACTCACACTGTAAAACAATACAGACGCGTCACTTCATACTTAATAATGGCTACTCTCCGCCCCAGATACTGGCTACCCTCGCTCCAGATAATTGTTATCCTCCGTCCCACATACTGGCTACCCTCCGCCCCACATACTGACGACAACATCCACTGTTACTGGGTACCGCCACCCCAGATACTAGCTACCCTCCACCACAGATACTGGCTACCTTCGTCCTACGTACTGGCTACCCTCCACCCTAGACTGTTACTGGCTACCGCCACCCCACATACTGACGACAACATCCACTGTTACTGGTTACCGCCACCCCAGATACTGGCTACCCTCCATCCCACATATTGGCGACCAGATACTAGCTACCCTCCACCCCAGATACTGGCTACCCTCCGTCCCAGATATTGGCTACCTTCCACCCCATTTAATGGTTACTCTCCGTCCCAGGTACCGGCTACCCTCCATCCTAGATACTGACTACCTTCCACCTACCAACTACTCTCCCCACTAGATACTGGACAGATCGCCCTAGATACTGACTACCCTCCGATCCAATTATTGGTTACCCTCCGTACCAGATACTGGCTACTACCACCCAACATCTACAGCTAGTACATACCTACACTTGGGAGTAAAGTCCAAATGCGGAAAGCCAGAGCACTCAACACTAGCTGCAACATCTCGTGGGTTCAAGCGTATATTTACAGATTTCCTTCGTTTTCACATAACGTTAGAGGTATGTTCCTTAGAGCAAGACCCCATAGTAAATACCGTCCGTGCTAGAACACTGATACGTCATTCATTCAGTGGACCTGTTTACAGCCCTGTCATACCTTACCGCCTTTATACAGAGTTTATGTTTGCCATGAGACGGAATATACACCCGATATGAATAGAAACAAGTTCCTGTACACGTTTTCTCAATGCGTGATAGACTTCATGCGACAAAGACATATTTACCACCTACGTAGTACAGAGAGACAAACGGAAGATTCGGCCTTTCACCAGAATTATTATGGAACATTATGGAACCCGGATCGCAGTGCCCAGCTCTATGAGACGTTTTGGAAATGTGTCTTACTGAAGTGATAGTGTCTTCTTATGTCTGGTACTAAAGAATTGTGAATTGTTTCCTATAATCTCTGGTGTGTGTCTGGGTAAAACCTGTTAAAGCCAATCAGTAACCAATGATTCAATCAGGCAAAAAAATCGAAATTCCAGTTTGACGAAATCATACGGGATGTTCCCACACTTCCATTGTTTTCTTTGATTACCTTTGTGCAGATCGTTGGTGTCTTTGTTCAAATAACATCTGGTAAGTCGCATGAACAACAGCAACAACTTTATACCACATTGCAAAGTTTCCATTGCATTATATCAATTAATAAATATCCTGCACAGCGCCGCATTGGGATGAAGTCACGGTTATAACACTAGGTATGCACCCGTGAAGATCCGGGTTCAGCAACCCATGCTTGTCGTAAGAGGCGACTAACCGGATAAGGTGGTCAGGCTCGCTGACTTGGTTGACACATGTCATCATATCCCAATTGCGTAGATCGATGCTCATGTTGTTGATCACTGGAGTGTCTGGTCCAAACTCCATTACTTACAGACCGCCGACATATAGCTGGAATACTGCTGAGTGCGGCGTAAAATTAAACTCACTCACTAACTCATACCACTCAATCAATTCTTATTTCACCAGTGTTGTATCTACTTCATTGACTTTATTACCGAAGATATGTTTTCAATGAAGACATGCACAAAAGGATAGACTTGAACATGTCCATTTGAATTGACAATGAGTGAGTGTTTCTGCCTGCGCTGATCACCGATACACTGGTACCAGCGTAAGAGATTTCAGTTGAGATTAACCTTGCGTGGTAACATGTCTTCTAGCAAAGCTGATGTAGCGAAACAAAATAGCAACTCCTTGGCTATGGGTAGCAACTGAGAAGCACCCCAAATTAAACCTTCCAGACGATTATAATATACGTTTGGCTTTGTCAATTGCAAGTATATTAAGCTAGCGATATTATATTTAAAATGAACTGTACTGATGCTTAGCCGGCAGTCAAGGATACATGACTGCATGACTAAAACATAAAAACACATCGCAACTGTGGAAGGGTATCTTTGACAAAATATCTTGAAAATTAAATTTGCGTCTTTGGCAAAAATGGTAGGTAGCAAACTACATTGCTTATCCCAGTCTTTACTGAAACAGTATATTTTTACACAAGTCTACACAAACTGTATACTGCTGTATGAAGGAGTGACTGTTAAATCAAATTAAAAATTAAATGTTTTAACAATTCTCGTGCCCTTCATCACATGAGCTAAACAATTGCAGACGTATTATCTCCCTCTGTTGGAATCTTGTCGCTGGTTTGGACCTAGTTATGACAATGATCAAACGCCATGGGCACCTTACTCATGGGTTTCATAAAAAAAATTAATGTGAAAAAAGATCCTCCAATTGATACCAGTACAACTGAGAGATGGTCAATATTCAACATCAATTAACATAATTACATCCCGGCCTGATTTGCATGTACTCTTGGCACAAGTGGTATCCTATAGGACACAGCAAAAAACAACAACTTAATGCTGAATACGTCACGTTGACGTATTTTTTAATTAAGAAACAGAATAAGAGAAAATACAGTAAATGGGCATAAAGAGAGTACATCAACTAAACACAACGGTCTGATTTGTATCCACTGAGAAAGATCTAAACAGTTACTTCACAAGCAACATCGTCCTTGACGACAAAGGTCACTGGCTGTTCAAAATGGAGAGTTTGCCTGCAGGAACATTCCTGTACGCCTGTCCATCTCACCATTAAAACAAGGTTTCATTCATGGCTTGACACAAGTCCAGTCTCAATGCACAGTCTATCTCTGTGTTGAGGCAAGTAAAACACGATATAATATATATAGCAAAACTACTGCATTGAGGAAACCGACAGGAATCTTGCATGGTCATGTTCTCTTTCGAAAGTCAAATATATAAATCTACCCGTGAAGATCCGGTTTAGAATTGATTTTCAGAACTGCTTGTTATAACAGGCGACTAACGGGATCAGTGGTCTATAGAGGTTAACGCTTTAAAACACAACATGCACAGTGTCAGTGCAGCCTCAAATAGGTCAATCAACTGTGGGAGCTATCTGTAGCTGTGACGTAAGGGGTAGCACACCTCTGGGAATGGATGGATATTTCATCGGGAAAACATCTAAGAAAATATTGTCTGCCTCCCCCAAAACATAGACTTAGGCTCGTAGTTTATAGATTTAAAGAATATATACATTTTGTTGATATAACTGAAGAGATATACAAACCCTTACAGCACAGATGTACAGCTAATTCATAACACCCTAGGCGTTCTCATATACTTTCGTGTCAAGAATATCGTAGTTTTGGTTGTCAAACTTGGTTCCATCGAGACCAGCATAGTCACCTCCACACACTCTGTCGGTGTCTGTATGAGCCGAACCGGCGGGGATGTTTGATGCAGCAGCGACGACGTTGTAATAGACATCAGTGCCCAGGTGTTCACCCTTGTTCTTTCCTTGTAGGTCTCTCGGCTGAAGGTGAGAGGCACCTTTGACTTGCTTCGCGTAGTTAAACTTCTTCAACATTGGCAGCCTGCGAACAACAACTTTCACCTGAGTTCCCTCAGAAGCATGCTGAAAGCGCTAACACTGGGATCATCCCGGTCAATGGAGCAGTCTATAATCGAATTTCGTTGTTTTCTGGTGAATACGAAACAACAGCCTGTGCGGCGCTAGAAGGTAAACAGCCATAATACCATCTCATTCTACCGGGTATCCATTCACTGCTGGATTATCACAGGCCTACTGAGACAATGTCACAAGCTCGCTACCGGACACGGTCATAGATATATCTACTCACCAGCTGAGTTGACTGATATGCTCAGGACCATGTGACGTCCATGTTAATAACCAAAAGCTGCCCAAATCATGTACCTAAAGTACATGTAAATATAAATCTCAATCCATATTTGGTTCACGGACATCCTTCTGTTACAAGACTCACACAAGTACTCACCTCCCCTGTCTCAGTAGGCACAGGTACACTGCCCCAGTTACAGCCAGTGTTACCAACACTCCGGCCACAGCACCAACGAGAGCATATATTCCTGGAGACAGCACGGGGTCTGCCTGCTTGTCATCACCAGTGGATCCATACTCTAGAAACATAATGCAACGGTGTAAGATGTAACAGAATACGTCCCCTTACAGCACAACACATGGTTTTATTGTTATTTTCTCAATTGCACTTTCCAGAGACAATGTCCTCCACATTTCATTCCAACAGCAACCAGTTTAACACTTTAATACTTTCGAATTTAGAAAAGAATCAATGCACGTGGTAGGCTCTTGTTGCTGTGATTTAGTGTGGAGTGCTCCTTGAGTGTTCCCATGATCATAGGTTCGAAGCTATTTGGAAATAATACATGCCAAACTCCCTAATAATGATGTGAATTACTTGTAGAGCAGTTTGTTCCTGTCCATCCCTCCCGACATCCACCAGACAGACACTCTCCACTGATGGGATCACATGTAGACGAGGATGTCTTGCAATGTCTTGAAGCGCAGTCTCCGACACAGTCGTGGCCGTACGTTCCTGAGTCGCACACTGAAACACACACACATATCTTGTTTGTGAACACAACCGTAAAATATTCGTTGCTATAAGCTAGTTATAACGATTGACCATACTTGCAGCTAAACATCAATACAAACAAACTGCAGTGTACAAAAGTACATTTGAATACTGCACCCTATTAACAGTTTATTATAAATTCATGGCTCCAAGATAGAAACGATTGTTTATCGACCTGCAAGTTCAGTTAAACAAGCAAACTAGAGATTGAAAGCATGAGCACCCGTTCCCCACACATAGTCAGCCAGGTATATTTTAAATCGGTTGACGTGAGGACTAGGAAGCCCTTGGGGTTCTGACTCCATCAACTACTGTTATATAGAGGTGTGTACATCACCCTTGGAACAGTCTGGTCCCGTCCAACCATCACTGCAGCCACCGCGGCACGCTCCAGTCACTCGTTCACATGATGATGAGGATCTATTACAATGCCTGTCGCTGCAGTCTCTGGCACAGTTGGGCCCATACTTCCCAGCTGTGCACACTACAACCAATACAAGGAATCCGGTTATTCTGGTTATTCCGAAGTATACTCACTTACGCAAAATTGTGAATAAAAGGAGATTTTGACTTCAGGTGTTTCTGAGACTTGTGGGCACTTCTGAAGGAAACACCATCATGTACGAATATACACTGAACCACAAAAGAAACGTCACACCGATAGAGGTTTCTTAAAGCACACTCTTTGAATTCACTCCAATTATCAAAACGGAGGATTGACTTCAAACTTCACCTTATAAGAACAAAATACTGCATTTGGTTTTGAAAGGTTGCGTTTCTTTCGCGGCTCAGAATTCTCAGTATATTAGACTATGCATTTGTTGTCACTGAAATACTACATCATGCCATTTAGTAACTAGTTGGCCATTTCTGCTTCTGCCGTATACGTGGTGGTGAAAGAGGTGTACATTATTGTAGATTTTGATATGTCTGATGTGACATGGGTAAGCTATAGCTAGTGTTGTTTGTTGATGTAATGTAAATGGTACTTTAGATACAATATACAAGCATCTGAAGGATATAGCTGTTTATCATCTTATGGGGGGTGTTATGGGTGCAATAAAGCAATCTGATAAGCTTGGTATCCAAATCTGATAACTATGCAAATTACGTCAATCCACAAATTTAACAAAACTCCATACACGCCATGCGAATCCTAAAACGTTTTTAACATTTCATTGATGACGTCGTCGCGAGTTTACATTGTTTGTAAACAAACATGGCTGCCCCCATTCTCAAAATTGGTCATTCTGTAAGAATTGATGACAGAGGTTCTGGAGTCGTTACTGCAGTAATTGACTTTGGAAAACATGAAACGGAGTACTTCGTTCAAATTGAAGGTACGGATTATGAGGCACAACTCTAAGCGGTCGTTGAAGTAAGGTACGAACAAAAGATTTCGATCTATCGATCACAATACAGACGACGAATCGATTCCGTCAAGTATCAGAAACTGATATTGATGAGGTGATTACCCACAATGAAAATAGAAACGCTCCCAAGAAAACTCTGCCCGATTTTGTTGTTCTTTTTAGACAGAAAGATCTTATTTTAAGCTTGAGTTTTGTTTGCACTGTATTAGCGACTAGTCACAACCATATGCCGCCGTCATGAACGACCTTCACCTTGGGGTACCGCTAAGTATTCTTACGCGAATGCTCGATTCTCTTCACATAAATTCACGTACGATTTGCTTCTTCTTTTTTAAGAGTAATTTTAAGAATGACGATATATAATAAAGAGATTATTAACCTCGTGTGTTTCCGTATCATAGATATCATATATTATGAATAAAAATTATGTATTATGCTAGCCAAAGGCTCACATAAAACAATTTTTATTCCTAATATACATATGATATTAATGATACGGAAACACACGAGGTTAATAATAATAATTATATATATATAGTACATGTTGGAGAAGATCCGTGTCGTGTGATTATTTCAGCAATTTCTTATATATGTACTACTGTACGCTCGGTATTCTCATCACTTTCTTTATATATATATATATATATATATATATATATATATATATATTTATATGTATATATCATACTTGAATGATGCACAGAAACAACACTTACCTAAGACTTTCACTTCGGCAAAATCTAAAATGGGACCCCCTTTATCGTTTCCAGTTTGAGTGTAGACCGTCAGGTAGCGCCATGTACCCGAGCAGGTCACGCCCAGTGATGCCGGGATATCCGTGCCGTCGGGTCGCCCTTTGACCTCATGACACAGCGTCCCCTGAGTGGGGTCTGTTAAAGGTTCCGGGTGAGTGAACAGTTCCAGCCCATTTCGCCTTGCTATGTCTGCAGAGACTTAATCTTTTACTTGGAATCAACAACAGTGTTCAAGTTATGCCATGAAGATAATCAATAGATTGAATACTATTGGTATGATCGGTTGGTTGGTTTGTTCTTTAACGCCGCACTCAGCAATATCCCACCTATATAAATAGCTATAATAATCCATATACTGGCTACCTCAATCCTAGATACTGGCTACCCTCTATTCTAAATACTGGCTTCCCTCTATCCTAAATACTGGCTACCATCTATCCTAGATACTGGCTACCCTCTATCCTAGATACTGGCTATCCTCTATCCTAGACACTGGCTACCCTCTACCCTAAATACTGGCTACCCTCTACCCTAGATACTGGCTACCCTCTACCTTAGATACTGGCAACCCTCTATCCAAGATACTGGCTATCCTCAATCCTAGATACCGGCTACACTCTATCCTAGATACTGGCTACCCTCAATCTTAGATACTGGCTACCCTCTATCCTAGATACTGGCTACCTACCCTACATGTAGGAATACTGGCTACCCTCTACCCTAGATACTGTACCCTCGGTCCAGATTCTGGTTACCCTCTACCCTAGATACTGGTTGCCCTCTACCCTAGATACTAGTTGCCCTCTACTCTACATGTAGATACTGGCTACCCTCTACTCTAGATTCTGGGTACCCTTTACCCTACATGTAGAAACTGGTTACCCTCTATCCTAGATCCTGGCTATCCTCTATCCTAGATATTGGTTACCCTCTACTCCAGATACTGGTTGCCTCTACCCTAGATACTGGGTACCCTCTACTCTATATGTACATACTGCTTACCCTCCGTCCAGATACTGGCTACCCTCTCCCCAGATACTGGCTATCCTTGCTCTAGATTAATATGATGTTTTGGTTGAGTCACATCCGGGATTCGAGCCGACTCTACATGAATGGCATTGTGCATTCATGCTCCACGGGTGCGGTACGAGTTTATCCTTGTCAGTGGAGTACACTATGTAAGTGATCTGACTACCACTTGTCAGCCTTCCATGTTACTGGAAGCCTCGGTGTTGAAGTACACTACGTAAGTGATCTGACTACTAATTCTGTCAGCCTTCCATGTTACTGGAAGCCTCGGTGGTTAAGTACACTACGTAAGTGATCTGACTACCACTTGTCAGCCTTCCATGTTACTGGAAGCCTCGGTGGTGAAGTACACTACGTAAGTGATCTGACTACCACTTGTCAGCCTTCCATGTTACTGGAAGCCTCGGTGTTGAAGTACACTACGTAAGTGATCTGACTACCACTTGTCAGCCTTCCATGTTACTGGAAGCCTCGGTGTTGAAGTACACTACGTAAGTGATCTGACTGGTTACCACTAGCCTTCCATGTTCCATGTTACTGGAAGCCTTCGGAAGCCTCGGTGGTTAAGTACACTATGTAAGTGATCTGACTACCACTTGTCAGCCTTCCATGTTACTGGAAGCCTCGGTGTTGAAGTACACTACGTAAGTGATCTGACTACCACTTGTCAGCCTTCCATGTTACTGGAAGCCTCGGTGGTTAAGTACACTACGTAAGTGATCTGACTACCACTTGTCAGCCTTCCATGTTACTGGAAGCCTCGGTGGTTAAGTACACTACGTAAGTGATCTGACTACCACTTGTCAGCCTTCCATGTTACTGGAAGCCTCGGTGGTTAAGTACACTACGTAAGTGATCTGACTACCACTTGTCAGCCTTCCATGTTACTGGAAGCCTCGTTGGTTAAGTACACTACGTAAGTGATCTGACTACCACTTGTCAGCCTTCCATGTTACTGGAAGCCTCGGTGGTTAAGTACACTATGTAAGTGATCTGACTACCACTTGTCAGCCTTCCTTGTTACTGGAAGCCTCGGTGGTTAAGTGGGCCAGATCGCTGACTTTGTGTGCTGGCGACTTGGTTCCTGGCTCAAACCACCAGTTACGTAACCAGGGCCTGAATGCACGACCGGATAATCTTTGAAATTTCAAAGGACAGACGCAGCATCACAAACTTTAGTTTGGCATTTCTTTCCAGCCTAGACGTGACATAGTCACCATATGTTCAAGAGATCAAACAAATTCCATACAAAAGGGCTCAAACATCATCTAAATATCGAACAGTGGCAAAACTAGAACCACCAGGGCCTATATTTTCGAAGCTCCCTCAGCGTTAAGATAGTCGTAAGTGCCATACATTAGCATTGACTTACGACTATCTCAGCGCTATGAGAGCTTCGAAAATCTGGGCCCAGGACTTCAAAGTGAGTTTAAACCAAGCGTATACTTACAGTCTGTCCTGAAGTAAAGGACGACCAGGGCGGACTCGACTTGAGTCTGGAGATCAACCTTCCACCAGGCCGATGTCTGGTTTAGCTGTGTGTGCATCAGAACACCTGCTCTGTAAGCTCCCGTAGTGTCACCATCAACAGCAAGCCTTCCCGTGGAGGTATTGACGAGGAGTGAGCTTATCTCGGTGGGTTTGTTGAGCGCCATGTTCAGCCAGAAATCTGCGGATTTACCGCTTACATCACCAATCAAGAACAATCAACATATCTCTCTCTATATATATACCCCTCTTACATCCACCACTGCAGGTACCACGACTTACTGAGTGTACAGACAGGAGCAAGTATTGAGTTACCTTGTGTACAGTTGTCCAGTTGCCACACAGCTTGGCATCCACCACTGCAGGTACCACGACTTACTGAGTGTACAGACAGGAGCAAGTATTGAGTTACCTTGTGTACAGTTGTCCAGTTGCCACACAGCTTGACATCCACCACTGAAGGTACCACGACTTACTGAGTGTACAGACAGGAGCAAGTATTGAGTTACCTTGTGTACAGTTGTCCACACAGCTTGGCATCCACCACTGAAGGTACCACGACTTACTGAGTGTACAGACAGGAGCAAGTATTGAGTTACCTTGTGTACAGTTGTCCAGCTGCCACACAGCTTGACATCCGTCAGTGCAGGTACCACGACTTACTGAGTGTACAGACAGGAGCAAGTATTGAGTTACCTTGTGTACAGTTGTCCAGTTGCCACACAGCTTGGCATCCACCACTGCAGGTACCACGACTTACTGAGTGTACAGACAGGAGCAAGTATTGAGTTACCTTGTGTACAGTTGTCCAGTTGCCACACAGCTTGGCATCCACCACTGCAGGTACCACGACTTACTGAGTGCACAGACAGGAGCAAGTATTGAGTTACCTTGTGTACAGTTGTCCAGCTGCCATCCAGCTTGACATCCGTCAGTGCAGGTACCACGACTTACTGAGTGTACAGACAGGAGCAAGTATTGAGTTACCTTGTGTACAGTTGTCCAGTTGCCACACAGCTTGGCATCCACCACTGAAGGTACCACGACTTACTGAGTGTACAGACAGGAGCAAGTATTGAGTTACCTTGTGTACAGTTGTCCAGTTGCCACACAGCTTGACATCCGTCAGTGCAGGTACCACGACTTACTGAGTGTACAGACAGGAGCAAGTATTGAGTTACCTTGTGTACAGTTGTCCAGTTGCCACACAGCTTGGCATCCACCACTGCAGGTACCACGACTTACTGAGTGTACAGACAGGAGCAAGTATTGAGTTACCTTGTGTACAGTTGTCCAGCTGCCATCCAGCTTGACATCCGTCAGTGCAGGTACCACGACTTACTGAGTGTACAGACAGGAGCAAGTATTGAGTTACCTTGTGTACAGTTGTCCAGCTGCCATCCAGCTTGACATCCGTCAGTGCAGGTACCGTTTGGTGGACAGTTGGAAATCCCTTTGCAGTATCGGTCAGCACATCGCAGAGAACAATTCTGTCCGAACATGTCACTTGTACATTCTGAAACCAGTCCATAAAAGACATTCGTGACTGATCTGGGAAAAAAGTATTTTTTGACGTTTGACCAATACTTGGATATTGGTTGCTGCCCAATGCAAACATGATATCATAACGTATCTTATCTTGCATATAACTTACCAAACAGATCTCTGCTCGAACACTCTATCCAGAGACTTAATGTAGTTTACCCTGATTAAAGCCTGCCAACCTATCATGATCATGCTCGTGAGGTAAGTCAGGTGAAATTCAACTATCTTCACCAAAACTGTGTGAAGAAGCCCCGTCTAACACAAACTGAACATAATGCATACCGACCCGTGTCTACAAAGTGAGTGACCTCATGTACAACACACTATTCCATAGAGGCTATTATATGAGTGCCCATGTCATACTATGTTTACGACACGAGTGCCTAAATGTTGGTATTTTCCCAAATCTACTTTTATACATAGGCTGGCTACCCTCCGTCGCCGCATGTAGAACGAAGAACGAAACATCAGAGAAGAAATGTGACGTCATATCATTGTTCATGACGTCACGTCACCTTGACAAAGTGATATTTTGCCCTTGGGCATCGTATGAGAAATATGAACCCCGATATTTTCTCCCTCGTTGGTAATATATATATAAAGATAGATTATTCCACGAGGAAGTGTGTCATATGACAGACTTGCTCGAGTGTAATAATTTCTTTATTATCCATTTTATTCATGTACGTTTCTGCAGTACAACACGGTGAGCAAGTGTAACTGTCCTATTCATTGACGTCACGTTCAATTGTTAATGACGCCACAGACGACTAGGCATGTTATATAGATGACACTGGTTATGTTTCACTATGTATTACTCACCCGTTAAGATATCACGGTTTAATAATTTTATAATATAAGTTGTAAGCTTCTCTTAACACGGTAATACGGTCTGATGTACGCCTCTCTGTAGCGGTGTCACCCGAGCCGGTAGGCGACTGTATTACCCGAAGAATTACCATGTTAAATGTACAAAACATCATTTTATTTTATACTAAAGATCGCGACCGACCTTATGACGCTCTCGACTGGATTTTAGAATCAGTGAAACATATTCTGACAAGCTTAAAACTGCTATAAAAATGGTTAATTATGTTGAAGTTGAGTGTGCAAACCTCTCAATGTATAAAGTAGCTTAAATAGCATTGAAAGTCGATAAAATAAATCTGTACAAAGTGAACACAAAAACAGCTGATCGAACGCTTATCGAACTCCGGACACTGCATGAGTCATATTATGACGTCATACGATTGTTAGCGATACAGTCCTCGGTGGAGTGTTTGGCGGTTACTGTGGCAGCGGGTAATATTTTTTCCAGTTGTCACCCTCCTGGGAGGGGGTGACACTGAAACTTTATAAAGCGTCATTGACCAATGAAATTAAAGTATTTTAATGAAGGTAAGATAATATTTTTACACATTGTGTAATAACATCGCGTGATGTCGCATGTATGACGTCAAAGTAGTTTACAGTTATGACGGCACAATGCTAATACCTCTGGCAGAATAGTATTATACCTTGCTTGACTCGCGGAAAGCTGAGAGTCATCACACTCGTTGAATTCTTAGGTAAGAAGTATAGTACTTTGCTCGATATTACTTAGCTAATGTTGGGTGAGTAATAAAATTTACTCTTTCGCTCGTCAGATTCCAAACCATTCACTCGTTCATAAATTTGATATTACACGGGACATCGTTCAGTATTTTCTAAATGTGTAGCAAGTGGTTGCATGTAAGCAATAGTTCCACGACCAAACAAACCAGTGCTGGATAATATGAGCAACAACTCACCAAAAAAGGGAAAGACCACTCGCACTCACCCAAATCACCGACCCTGACCAACCAATCCACTTGAGTCACCAGTACATAATGCATTTACACTGTACCTTGTGAACAGTCTGGGTCCATCCAGCCCTCCTGGCACCCCCCAGCACACTGGCCTGTTAGGGGGTGACACTGGAGCGAAGACGTCACACAGGGTCGAGAGCTGCATGAATTGTTGCAGTCGATACCATATGTTCCGTTGTTGCATTCATGATTCACTGGACAAACAAACAAACAACGCGACATAAAAACAAGCTTGGGTCTTGTACATGACACTAATTCAAGTTGGATTGAAACTGGCTTCGTGAGCCAAAATGGTAACAATAAAAATGGATTACACTTTCGCAGTAAAGTACAGATTCTTGTAAATGTTTGGGTTGAGTTCCATTTGGGAAAGGCACCGAACCCCCAGCGTAAAAAGTCTGCCAACAACCGCGGATTTCACAAAAACATAGTCTGACAACTGGTAGTGTAAATCACCTCTCTGTTCCCCTCGGTCATCATTCGAGGAAAGCGAAGGGCGGTGGGGTAGTCTAATGGTTAATGCGTTCGCTCGTCACGCAAAAGACACGGGTTCCATTCCCCACATGGGCACAATGTATGAAGCCCATTTATGGTGTAACCCGACGTGATATTAATGGAATGTTGCTAAAAGCAGTGTAAAAGTAAACTCACTCACTACTGGACAGCGACCTCAATTATCATCAACACAGTTAATACCTATAAACACGTGAAATACACGTGCTTACATTGTGATTATGTGTAAGAATACAATGCTTACGCCATACTTCAACTTCAGCGAAGTCCAAAATAGGTCCTTGAGCGTCATTACTAGTGTTCGTGTAGACCGTCAGGTAGCGCCACTTTCCCGGACACGTGGTATTCAGGACATCCGAGATGCCTGTGCCGTCATCATGGACTGTGTGACACAAGGATCCTTCCCAGGGAGTAGATAATGGTACTGAAGCTGTGAAGACTTGTACACCATTGCGACGAAGAGTAACTGAGTAACAATTCACATAAAGAAATGTTAAAATTAGTGAGTAAGTGAGTTTTGTTTTACGCCGCACTCAGCAATATTCCAGCTATATGGCGGCGATCTGTAAATAATCGAGTCTAGACCAGGCAATCCAGTGATCAACAGCATGGGCATCGTTCTTGCAATTGGGAACCGATGACCTGTGTCAACTACGTCAGCGAACCTGATCACCCGATCCCGTTAGTCGTCTCTTACGACAAGCATGGGTTACTGAAGGCTCATTCTAACTCTTTCTCTCCTAGTATTTCATATTTGAATTGTAATACGATATATCCATGCAGTGCGGTAATGTCTATGCATCAGAGGGCGGTGGTGTAGCCTAGTGGTTGAAGTGTTCGCTCGTCACGTCGAAGACCAGGTTCGATTTCCTACATGGGTACAATGAGTGAAGTCCATTGGTGGTGTCCCCCGCTGTGATATTACTGGAATATTGCTGAAAGCGGCGTAAAACATGCTCACTCACTCACTCACCCACACACTGAGGACATTTAATCATACTTACAATCAGTTCTGAAGTATATCATGACAAGAGGTGACTCTATTTGTGTCTGGAGATCAACGCGCCACCACGCCGAAGCTTCATTTTCTTTTGTGTGCATCAAGGAACCTTTGTCATATACAGAGTTGGTGTTTCCATCAACTGCGTTACTGGCTGGGGTTTTGTCGGAATAAACAGAGCTCATCGTTGCCGGTTTCTTCCATGCAATATTCACAGAGAGAGCCTTTGATGAATCTCCAAAACACAAACAAATACACAGTGTTAGATTTTTTTACAAAAGGATACTGCCTGGCAGATACTCCTCCTGTGCAGATAACCCGTTTCTGACCTAAACCTCCCGTTCACCCCATACCGACCATACACTGTAACAACAGGCCAAAAATGATTTGCATTGTAATGTCAACAATATGTTTGCTTGTTGGAATACCATGACATGTCAACCACTACCATCCGATCCCGTTAGTCGCCTCTTACGACAAACATGGGTTGCTGAAGATCAATTCTAACCCGGATCTTCACGGGTACATACCTAGTGTTATAACCGTGACTTCATCCCAATGCGGCGCTGTGCAGGATATTTATTCATTGATATAATGCCGGAGAGAGCTTTCTAAGTTGGATAACTTGTGCCCAATCCTTTTCTTTGCTGCATAAAATATGTTTAAAACAAACTTAAAACAATAAAGTTGTTGCTGTTGTTCATGCGACTTACCAGATGTTAGATGGACAAAGACACCAACGATCAGCACAAAGTACATCTCCGTCCTCTCCCTCAACTCTACAAAGTAAAACAAGGATGTATAGAGAGAACACTATATTTCACATACTATTTCTGGTCAGAGAATCATTAATCCTGGAGAATCGAGTTTCCTCAACCCATCTGAATATCCAGCCAATACAATATGGATTTCTGAAGAAACTCCACAATGTTACGAAATGACATGCTTTTCTGAGGTATCTGACCAAATGATGGCTGTGGTTAGAAATATGAAATTAAATGCAAAAAGTATCAGTTAAAAACAAATGTAACGGGAAATAAGTTACAGATCCTGTTTCGCAACATTGGATGTATTTATATCATTTCTATTCATTGGATGTGATAAAGTGCTCCTATTGTTGTTTGTACAAACAAGGTCACGGTTGTCCAATCAGAATGAACAGAACGACTCCACATGGCATTACTTACGTGTCACCACAGAAAAATTCCCTACCTGTACCTTTCCCCGTGGTTAAATAACAGAGATGTTGTCGTAGGATGAATTTCACATATTAGGAATACAAATGGAATTATTTGCTTATCGTGTACTTTGTTTGAAAGGTTTTAGACACATTGCTATTCACGATGGTAACTTAAGCATCGCGTAGGAACATACACTGTGTAAACCGCCCCATTATTTCTAAAGTGTCACGTGATCTTTGTTTCCATAACAACTCACACACGCATAACGGATACTGTTTGTCATCGTCATAGGAAGGAAAAACACCACAACCCCATTGTTCAACAGCTTCAGGAAAATGCGGACTGACAAAGAGTATACGGACTTGATCAAAGGATTAAACTTCGATTCAACACTGTTATCGTGCGGCGTATTTTTCAGTAGTAACTGTTTATGAATGTCGGTTTAGTATCCTGGAATGAAAATAAATTTATCGCTTAAATATATGTTGGAGCTTTATGACAGTCATACCAGTTCTCTACGGATGGGGGTATGTTTACTTGTTCTAAGACACCTTTGATCGTTTATAAAAAGTACACCATGGTATACAATTTGGAAGACTATGAATACTCAGTGCCATTTAGATAGTGATCACATGATATAACACATGTTATATTATGAATTACAGAGCCACCGCGACCTCCACTAACTGGACTTGAGTTTCCTGTTGAAGTTGCGGTGGCTGAGCGGGTTAGGTGGCTGACTTTGTGTGCTTGCTATTTGGTTCCTGACTCTGAGGGTGTGGGTTCGAATCACGGATGGGACTCAACCCAACAAAAGTACTAGAATCTGTACTTTACTAAGGACATGTAATCCCAAATATAACATATGTTAAGTTTGGAAGACCCTGCGTAACAAACATAGTTAAAATGAGAATATGTTTGGGGGCAAGTTACTCCCATATAATCATCTAAATTATTTTCTTTGTAAACACGTTACTGTTTTATGGCGATTTGGAACGAAAGAATGAACTTCAGACTTACTTGGACCTCGCTAATTCTAGCTTTCACAAAATGTCACGATCACTACTCATCTAAAACATTTTGTCCATGACAAATGAAATGACATTACAGTACAGTGTTGGATAAGGGCAGGAGACTTCAACAGACGCTTTCACTTTGATGACCGACCAGTTATGCAGATGGCATAAATGGTATATGACAGGTACCGTATTTCCTCATTTATTCAACGGACTTTCAGACCCGGCGCTTATTAGAGGAAAAACGGTATCTGCTCATGGCGTGTCAACTGATGCGGATTCTGTACACTATCAAGAACAAACCTGTTCAATTTGTACATACTTTTCTTATTTATTTCAATAACCTTCAGATATATACACATGAAAAACGTATCGCAACACCTGTGATTTTAACCACTATATAACCATTTATATTCAAATATACAGTAAGATAGGTTTGTTTGCATGATGATTTAGACCCCCGGGCGCACCATACACTGATTTTTAGATACGCACGTGCTAAGAGCAAAGGCGAGCATCACGTGCAATACATGTTGACCTCAATATCCGTTGAGTTTAAGTGAAATGAAACAATGTCAAATGCAGCGAAAAACAAGGGTGCTGAAACACACCAGCACCATGTTTGATTCAACCGCCCAAACACACAACAGCCTAGTGCATGTGGAAGACAGACTTTCCATGCAGCTTGTGGCAACTGGGCACTGACAGTTGTGAATCGGTTCTGAAGGGCTTGGAGCATAACATATCTGTCATCAGCCCTTGATGTTTTGCTGGGTCTTCCAGAGCGAGGTCTGTCCTGTTCTCTACCAGTGGCCTGGAATCTGTCCCTCAGTCTATGAAGGACAGAGGGAGACACCTGAAGACGGCGAGCAACACTTCTTATGGATTCACTATCCTGTAACCATGCAATCACTGGCCATGCTTCTGTCGTGGGCGCTTAAACGGTGTGCGTTGTGGCATGGTGAAAAAGCTGCAATGCTGTCTGAAGGTTCTTTTAAAGGAAACATTGCCACAAGCTGCATGGGAAGTCTGTCTTCCACATGTTTCAGCACCCTTGTTTTTCGCTGTTTTTGACAATGTTTTATTTCACTCAAACTCAACGAATATTGAATCAGTTGCTTCACTGCATGTTCTAACATGTCGTTTAAAGTGCCCATTAAGCACACAGAAAGTTGCATTTACCTCAGAGTATAAATGACCTCACCACGTTTAAGTTTATACATAACTATCAAATTTTACGGTGTTCCCATACTTTTTGTTTGTAGTATATATAAAGTTTCAGTAGACTGTTCTTACAACACGGTAACTTGGAACATTGCTTTTGTTGTTGGTTCTCAAATTCGGGGCCTCCGAAGTTGTATGATATTTTAATAACGTGAACTTTGTTCCTTGAGCGGTAATGTCAGTATCTTCATGCACTAGCTCCAATGAAAGAACACCCGTTTGATCATGTCGACCACGTGGGATTATCTCGTCCCACGTATCCTCCTCTATTGTAGATACACACCTGCAGGGCAAGTTACACTGACGGGAAGAGGACAATGAGGACAGAGAACACAGTGAGTGAAGGTTTACGCCGCTTTCAGCAATATTCCTGCAATATCACGGCGGGGGACACCAGCACACACTGTACTTATGTAGGGGGTCGAACCCGGTCTTCGGTGTGACGAACTAATGCTTTAACCACTATAGGCTACCCAACTCCCCTGTGAGTGAAATGACGGGGAGAGATGGTCAGAATCACTGGAATCCTTACTGAGTAACTGAAGTGTAATGGTGGTCTAACGCGTAACAATTTTCCTGTCTGAAGTTGTCCTACCGCCTGTGCGGATGTTTAACCGGAAAGTGTCAAATTCCACTGTTCGTCGTGGCCATCTTACTCCTCCGTCAGAGTTAGGATGCGGACGATCTGGTGGCAGTCATGAGTTTGCCGTGGCTGTGGCTGTTAGTCGGAGTCACCGTCGTCGTTTCGTCGGCACTGCCGGAGGAACCTCAACAGCAGCAACACCGACGTGTCTGGCGGAAACTGCTTCACAGGCATCGTAGAGGTGCGTTTAACTGTTTCCATACATTCACTGCATACAAAGATATATGTATCATTCTGCTATTTCTATTGTATATTGTATTTCTATGTACATATGTATGCAACATATACTATTATATGTGTGCACCATACACTCTTATATGTGTGTACCAAACACTATTATATGTGTGTACCATACACTGTTATATGTGTGTACCATACACTATTATATGTGTGCACCATACACTATTATATGAGTGTACCATACACTGTTATATGTGTACCATGTGTACAGTGTGTACCTATACACTGTGTATGTATATATGTACACTGTTACATGTGTGTACCATACACTGTTACATGTGTTACCATGTGTGTACCATACACTGTTATATGTGTGTACCATACACTGTTATATGTGTGTACCATACACTGTTATATGTGTGTACCATACACTGTTATATGTGTGTACCATACACTGTTATATGTGTGTACCATACACTGTTATATGTGTGTACCATACACTGTTATATGTGTGTACCATACACTGTTATATGTGTGTACCATACACTGTTATATGTGTTTCATACACTATTATATGTGTGTATCACACACAATTACATGTGTCTACCATACACTGTTATATGTGCGTACCATACACTCTTATATGTGTGTACCATACACTATTATATGTGTTTCATACACTATTATATGTGTGTATCATACGTTATTATATGTGTGTATCATACACTATTATATGTGTATACAATACACTATTACATAACATAGACACATAGAAAAAGTATCGCAACACATCATACTCTTATATGTGTGTACCATACACTATTATATATGTGTCCCATACACTATTATATGTGTGTACCATACACCATTATATGTGTGCACCATACACTCTTATACGTGTGTACCATACACTCTCATATGTGTGTACCATACACTATTATATGTGTGTACCATACACTATTACATGAGTGTATCATACACGATTACATGTGTCTACCAGACACTATTATATGTGCGTATCATACGATATTATATGTGTGTATCATACACAAATACATGTGTGTACCATACACTATTATATGTGTGCACAAAACACTGTTATATGGGTGTACAATACACTATTACATAAAATAGACACATAGAAAAGTATCGCAAACAAACCATCCTTTTCATATTATCAATATGTTATCATTACCTATAGTAAAGGGACTTATAAAAGCCCACCATTACTACCTATCTAGATAAACTGACCGTCAAGGCATAATTAATTGGCAAATCTAAACGCAACAAGAATGAATAACTATAGTTTATTCAGAGAAGCAAACATTGTAGAATGTCTTTGAAAACTAACAAGCAAAACAAACGAGGCAAAGTCGAAACTACTGATATTACAAAACGACAAACCACCAGTGTGAAGAAGGAAAGTGAATTGAATAACAGTGTATTGGCAACATGCATATGTGTCTTGTATGGGTGTTGTATGCTGTACGAGTGTTCTATGTTGTACGAGTGTTGTATGTTGTATGAGTGTTGTATGTTGTATGAGTGTTGTATGTTGTATGAGTGTTGTATGTTGTATGAGTGTTGTATGTTGTTTGAGAGTTGTATATTGCATGTGCGTTGTATGTTGTATGAGTGTTGTATGTTGTACGAGTGTTCTATGTTGTATGAGTGTTATATGTTGAATGAGAGTTGTATATTGCATGTGCGTTGTTTGTATGTGTGCTGTATGTTGTACGGGTGTTCTATGTTGTATGAGTGTTGTACGCTGTATGTGTGTTGTATGTTGAATGAGTGTTGTATGTTGTAAGAGTGTTGAATGTTGTTTGAGAGTTGTATATTGCTTGTGCGTTGTTTGTATGTGTGCTGTATGTTGTACGAGTGTTCTATGTTGTATGAGTGTTGTATGTTGTATGAGTGGTGTATGTTGTATGAGTGTTGTATGATGTGTGGGTGTCATATGTTGCGTGTTGTATGGGTGTTGTATGTTGTATGAGTGTTGTATGCTGTATGAGTGTTGTGTATGTATGTATGTGTTGTATGCTGTATGTATGTTGTATGTATGAGTGTTGTATGTGTGTATGAGTGTTGTATGCTGTATGAGTGTTGTGTATGCTGTATGGTGTTGTATGTGTATGTATGTGTGTTGTATGTGTATGAGTGTGCTGTATGAGTGTGTATGTATGCTGTATGAGTGTTGTATGTGTATGAGTGTTGTATGTAGTGTTGTATGTATGCTGTATAGTGTATGAGTGTTGTATGCTGTATGAGTGTTGTATGCTGTATGAGTGTTGTATGTGTGTATGTGTGTGTATGTTGTATGAGTGTTGTATGTTGTATGAGTGTTGTATGCTGTATGAGTGTTGTATGTTGTATGAGTGTTGTATGTTGTATGTGTGTATGTATGTTGTTGTATGCTGTATGTGTTGTATGCTGTATGAGTGTTGTATGTTGTATGTGTGTTGTATGTTGTATGAGTGTTGTATGTTGTATGAGAGTGTTGTATGTTGTATGAGTGTTGTATGTTGTATATGTTGTGTTGTATATTGTATGAGTGTTGTATGTTGTATGAGTGTTGTATGTTGTATGAGTGTTGTATGTATGTATGAGTGTTGTATGCTGTATGAGTGTTGTATGATGTATGTGTTGTATGTTGTATGAGTGTTGTATGCTGTATGTGTGTTGTATGCTGTATGAGTGTTGTATGTATGTGTGTTGTATGTGAGTGTTGTATGCTGTATGAGTGTTGTATGTGAGTGTATGAGTGTTGTATGTTGTATGAGTGTTGTATGCTGTATGTGTGTTGTATGTTGCTGTATGTGTTGTTGTATTGTATATGTGTTGTATGTTGTATGAGTGTTGTATGCTGTATGAGTGTTGTATGCTGTATGAGTGTTGTATGCTGTATGTGTGTTGTATGTTGTATGAGTGTTGTATGCTGTATGAGTGTTGTATGTTGTATGTGTGTTGTATGCTGTATGAGTGTTGTATGTTGTATGAGTGTTGTATGCTGTATGAGTGTTGTATGCTGTATGAGTCTTGTATGTTGTATGGGTGTTGTATGATGTATCAGTGGTGTATTTGTAAGAGTGTTGTATGCTGTATGAGTGTTGTATGTTGTATGAGTGTTGTATGATGTATGAGTGTTGTTTGCTGTATGAGTGTTATATGTTGTATGAGTGTTGTATGCTGTATGAGTCTTGTATGTTGTATGTTGTATGAGTTTTGTATGATGTATGAGTGGTGTATTTGTATGAGTGTTGTATGCTGTATGAGTCTTGTATGTTGTATGAGTGTTGTATGCTGTATGAGCGTTGTATTTGTATGAGTGTTGTATGCTGTATGAGTGGTGTATGTTGTATGCTGTATGAGTGTTGTATGTTGTATGAGTGTTGTATGTTGTATGAGTGTTGTATGCTGTATGTGTGTTGTATGCTGTATGTGTGTTGTATGTTGTATGAGTGTTGTATGTTGTATGAGTGTTGTATGCTGTATGAGTGTTGTATGCTGTATGAGTGTTGTATGTTGTATGAGTGTTGTATGTTGTATGTGTGTTGTATGCTGTATGTGTGTTGTATGCTGTATGAGTGTTGTATGTTGTATGTGTGTTGTATGCTGTATGAGTGTTGTATGCTGTATGAGTGTTGTATGATGTATGGGTGTTGTATGTTGTATGAGTGTTGTATGCTGTATGTGTGTTGTATGCTGTATGAGTGTTGTATGTTGTATGTGTGTTGTATGCTGTATGAGTGTTGTATGCTGTATGAGTGTTGTATGATGTATGGGTGTTGTATGTTGTATGAGTGTTGTATGCTGTATGTGTGTTGTATGCTGTATGTGTGTTGTATGTTGTATGAGTGTTGTATGTTGTATGAGTGTTGTATGCTGTATGAGTGTTGTATGCTGTATGAGTGTTGTATGTTGTATATGAGTGTTGTATGTTGTATGTGTGTGGTATGCTGTATGTGTGTTGTGTATATGAGTGTTGTATGCTGTATGAGTGTTGTATGTTGTATGTGTGTTGTATGTTGTATGAGTGTTGTATGCTGTATGAGTGTTGTATGATGTATGGAGTGTTGTATGTTGTATATGAGTGTTGTATGCTGTATGAGTGTTGTATGTTGTATGTGTGTTGTATGTTGTATGAGTGTTGTATGTTGTATGAGTGTTGTATGTTGTATGAGTGTTGTATGCTGTATGAGTGTTGTATGTTGTATGGGTGTTGTATGCTGTATGAGTGTTGTATGTTATGAGGTGTTGTATGAGTATTGTTGTATGCTGTATGATGAGTGTTGTATGTATGCATGAGTGTTGTATGTTGTATGAGTGTTGTATGTTGTATGAGTGTTGTATGCTGTATGAGTGTTGTATGTTGTATGAGTGTTGTATGCTGTATGAGTGTTGTATGTTGTATGGGTGTTGTATGTTGTATGAGTGTTGTATGTTGTATGAGTGTTGTATGCTGTATGAGTGTTGTATGTTGTATGAGTGTTGTATGTTGTATGGGTGTTGTATGTTGTATGAGTGTTGTATGTTGTATGAGTGTTGTATGCTGTATGAGTGTTGTATGTTGTATGGGTGTTGTATGTTGTATGAGTGTTGTATGTTGTATGAGTGTTGTATGCTGTATGAGTGTTGTATGTTGTATGGGTGTGTTGTTGTATGTGTTGTATGCTGTATGAGTGTTGTATGTTGTATGAGTGTTGTATGCTGTATGTGTGTTGTATGTTGTATGAGTGTTGTATGTTGTATGAGTGTTGTTGTATGTTTGTATGTTGTATGTGTTGTGTTGTATGTTGTATGAGTGTTGTATGTTGTATAGTGTTGTATGTTGTATGTGTGTTGTATGCTGTATGTGTGTTGTATGTATGAGTGTTGTATGTTGTATGTGTGTTGTATGTTGTATGAGTGTTGTATGCTGTATGAGTGTTGTATGTTGTATGAGTGTTGTATGTTGTATGAGTGTTGTATGTTGTATGAGTGTTGTATGTTGTATGAGTG